TCATGCATGCATACATTTTTGTGTATGGGTGGTCCCGGGGATCGAACCCACTACCTTGGCGTTACAAGCGCCGTGCTCTACCAGCTGAGCTACAGAGGACCACGGGACTACTTTTATGAAAGTATGTCAGTGTTTCTATGTGTGTGTCTGTGCGTGGGAGAGTTACGGGCTGGAGTTCTCTCTTTGCCAGATGTCTGGATGCTGTCCAGATGTAATTAATCCAAATGTAGACCCATGCAACATGTTGAGGAGTTGTGTCTTTCTGTGTGCCCTCCGTCTGCCAGAATACAGTGAGCTCCAAAGGTATTGGGACAGTGACACGTGTTTTGTTTTTTGGCTCTGTACTCCAGCACTTTGGATTAATGTGGATGCTACCGTTATTTTGTGCCCAATAGAAATTAATGGTAAATAATGTATTGTGTCATTTTGGAGTCACCTTTATTGTAAATAAGAATATAATATGTTTCTAAACACTTCTACATTCATGTGGATGCTACCATGATTACGGATCATCCTGAATGAATCACATTATTTACCATTCATTTCTACTGGGCAAAAAATTTGAAACACAACCAAAACAAACAGCAAATGCATCCAACAAGTTTGTAGAGTCACAAGCTTGATGTAATCATTGCGTGCTAGGAATATGGGACCAAACACTAAACTTTTGACTACTGTAATATACACTGAGTACAGTGGGGGAAAAAAAGTATTTAGTCAGCCACCAATTGTGCAAGTTCTCCCACTTAAAAAGATGAGAGAGGCCTCTAATTTTAATCATAGGTACACGTCAACTATGACAGACAAATTGAGAAAAAACATTCCAGAAAATCACATTGTAGGATTTTTAATGAATTTATTTGCAAATTATGGTGGAAAATAAGTATTTGGTCACCTACTAACAAGCAAGATTTCTGGCTCTCACAGACCTGTAACAACTTCTTTAAGAGGCTCCTCTGTCCTCCACTCGTTACCTGTATTAATGGCACCTGTTTGAACTTGTTATCAGTATAAAAGACACCTGTCCACAACCCCAAACTCCACTATGGACAAGACCAAAGAGCTGTCAAAGGACACCAGAAACAAAATTGTAGACCTGCACCAGGCTGGGAAGACTGAATCTGCAATAGGTAAGCAGCTTGGTTTGAAGAAATCAACTGTGGGAGCAATTTTTAGGAAATGGAAGACATACAAGACCACTGATAATCTCCCTCGATCTGGGGCTCCACGCAAGATCTCACCCCGTGGGGTCAAAATGATCACAAGAACGGTGAGCAAAAATCCCAGAACCACACGGGGGGACCTAGTGAATGACCTGCAGAGAGCTGGGACCAAAGTAACAAAGCCTACCATCAGTAACACACTATGCCGCCAGGGACTCAAATCCTGCAGTGCCAGACGTGTCCCCCTGCTTAAGCCAGTACATGTCCAGGCCCGTCTGAAGTTTGCTAGAGTGCATTTGGTTGATCCAGAAGAGGATTGGGAGAATGTCATGTGGTCAGATAAAACCAAAATATAACTTTTTGGTAAAAACTCAACTCGTCGTGTTTGGAGGACAAAGAATGCTGAGTTGCATCCAAAGAACACCATACCTACTGTGAAGCATGGGGGTGGAAACATCATGCTTTGGGGCTGTTTTTCTGCAAAGGGACCAGGACGACTGATCCGTGTAAAGGAAAGAATGAATGGGTCCATGTATCGTGATATTTTGAGTGAAAACCTCCTTCCATCAGCAAGGGCATTGAAGATGAAACTAGGCTCGGTCTTTCAGCATGACAATGATCCCAAACACACCGCCCGGGCAACGAAGGAGTGGCTTCGTAAGAAGCATTTCAAGGTCCTGGAGTGGCCTAGCCAGTCTCCAGATCTCAACCCCATAGAAAATCTTTGGAGGGAGTTGAAAGTCTGTGTTGCCCAGCGACAGCCCCAAAACATCACTGCTCTAGAGGAGATCTGTATGGAGGAATGGGCCAAAATACCAGCAACAGTGTGTGAAAACCTGGTGAAGACTTACAGAAAACGTTTGACCTGTGTCATTGCCAACAAAGGGTATACAGTAATCCCTCGTTTATCGCGGGGGTTACGTTCCGAAAATGACCCGCGATAAGTGAAATCCGCGAAATAGAAAACTTTTTTTTTTTTACAATTAGCAACTATTACATGTATACAAATACAGTGACTCACGTGTAGGCCGTTTCGTCGACATTATGGGTTTAGAAGATGTTCGAAATTACAAGATAATTTGGCCAACTTAATGTAAATTTGCCAAGCTGTTTTATGTACGTACACATAACTGCACGAGACGACAAAATGATAGCACAATTCGTAGCATGTTTTGATACAAGAAGCGGGAGTGAGTTTTTAGCGAATCAGAATGCAGAGCACAATGCACCAAAAAAAAAAAAAAAATGCATTATGAAAATCCGCGAAATAGCGAATCCGCGATAAGTGAACCGCGAAGTGGCGAGGGATCACTGTATAACAAAGTATTGAGAAACTTTTGTTATTGACCAAATACTTATTTTCCACCATAATTTGCAAATAAATTCATTAACAATCCTACAATGTGATTTTCTGGATAAAAAAAATCTCATTTTGTCTATCATAGTTGACGTGTACCTATGATGAAAATTACAGGCCTCTCTCATCTTTTTAAGTGGGAGAACTTGCACAATTGGTGGCTGACTAAATACTTTTTCCCCCCACTGTATATCAAAAACATGTTTTTATTTAACTAGGTAAGTCAGTTAAGAACAAATTCTTATTTACAATGACTGCCTACCAAAAGGTAAAAGGCCTCCTGCGGGGACGGGGGCTGGGATTAAAAATAAAAATATAGGACAAAACACACATCCCGACAAGAGACACCACAACACTACATGAAGAGAGACCTAAGACGACAACATAGCATTGCAGCAACACATGACAACAGAGCATTGTAGCAACACCACATGACAACAGCAAGAAACACTTTCCTAATATTTTAATATTTAGTTGCACCCCCCCTTTAACCAAAGTGTTGGAGTACAGAGCCAAACAACAAAACGTTTCACTGTCCCAATACTTTTGTAGCTCAATGTACATTATGACAATTCTCCCACAATCTGGAACAATCAATATACAGTACCAGTCAAAAGATTGGACACGTACTCATTCAAGGGTTTTTATTTCTACATTGTAGAATAATAGTGAAGACATCAAAACTATGAATTAACACATATGGAATCATGTAGTAACCAAAAAAGTGTTAAACGAATCAAAATATATTTTATATTTGAGATTCTTCAAAGTAGCCAGCCTTTGCCTTGATGACAGCTTTGCACTTCTCTCAACCAGCTTCACCTGGAATCCTTTTCCAACAGTCTTGAAGGAGTTCCCACATGAATGCAGAGAACTTGTTGGCTGCTTTTCCTTCACTCTGCGGTCCAACTCATCCCAAAACATCTCAATTGGGTTGAGCTCGGGTGATTGTGGAGGCCAGATCATCTGATGCAGCACTCATCACGCTCCTTCTTGGTCAAATAGCCCTTACACAGCCTGGAGGTGTGTTGGGTCATTGTCCTGTTGAAAAACAAATGATAGTCCTACTAAGCGCAAACCAGATGGAATGGCGTATCGCTGCAAAATGCTGTGGTAGCCATGGTGGTTAAGTGTGCCTTGAATTCTAAATAAATAACAGTGTCACCAGCAAAGCACCCCCACACCATCACACTTCCTCCTCCATGCTTCACGGAGGGAAACACACATGCGGAGATCATCCGTTCACCTACTCTGCGTCTCACAAAGACACAGCGGTTGAAAACAAAAATCTCAAATTTGTACTCATCAGACCAAAGGACAGATTTCCACAGGTCTAGTGTCCATTGCTTTTGTTTCCTGGCCCAAGCAAGTCTCTTCTTCTTATTGGTGTTCTTTAGTAGTGGTTTCTTTGCAGCAATTTGACCATGAAGGCCTGATTTCACGCAGTCTCCTCTGAACAGTTGATGTTGAGATGTGTCTGTTACTTGAACTCTGTGAAGCATTTATTTGGACTGCAATTTCTAAGGCTGGTAACTCTAATGAACATCCTCTGCAGCAGAGGTAACTCTGGGTCTTCCTTTCCTGTGGTGGTCCTCATGAGAGCCCGTTTCATCCTAGCGCTTGATGGTTTTTACGACTGCACTTGAAGAAACTTTAAAAGTTCTTGAAATGTTCCGTATTGACTGACCTTCATGTCTTAAAGTAATGATGGACTGTCGTTTCTCTTTGCTTATTTGAGCTGTTCTTGCCATAATGTGGACTTACCAAATAGGGCTATCTTCTGTATACCACCCCTACCTTGTCACAACACAACTGATTTGCTCAAACAAATTAACATTTAACATGGCACACCAGTTAATTGAAATGCATTCCAGGTGACTACCTCATGAAGCTGGTTGAGAGAATGACAAGTGTGCAAAGTTGTCATCAAGGCAAAGGGTGGCTACTTTGCAGAATCTCAAATATAAACTATATTTTGATTTGTTTAACACTTTTTTGGTTACTACATGATTCCATATGTGTTATTTCATAGTTTTGATGTCTTCACTATTATTCTACAATGTAGAAAATAGTAAAAATAAAGAAAAACCCTGGAATGAGTAGGTGTGTCCAAACTTTTGACTGGTGTATGTATATTGTGTCTACTATGTATATTGCTTTTACGTTCTTCTACGATAGATGAATTTTCCTTTTAACATAAGAGTTTCTTAGATATTTTCATATGTAAACATATATGAACTGTTACGTGTAGATATACTGTATGTATAATAATAGTATATATACTGCATGATATATATTTTCTTTAAAATATACACGTTCAGTGCGAATTAAAATCTCTTAAACTATTATTTTTTATTTTCCTAAAATGAAATTGTTGCCCTCTAACCTTACCTGAACTACGTTTTCAGCGGGTCTTCATTGTAGTCCTTTGCTCATGAACATATGGGTAATGTAATCCCTCTTCCTCCTGTCACTTTCAGCTGTATGGGGAATACAGTGAGCACCCGGGTGGGTCTGGCCGGAGAGAGGCCACCCGACTGCTAACAGAGAGACAATGGAAGAAACACGACCATGGTCACCATCCGCAGCATCGCCATGGCCACCATCACCACGGCCACCACCATGGCCACCCCCACGGTCACAGACATGGACACGGGCACCACAGTAGGCACAGGGGTCGGCATCACTCGGATGAGGCGGGACATGCACATATGGCTACAGAGCAAGGCAACCCTTTGTCTATAAAGAAACGCCGCTCCTACTCAAAGTGCAGAGGTGAGGAGTCCAAGCTCAGTAAAGTCGCTGGTGTTAAATTAACTCTAACAGTGTTAAAGTGAATCATGTCTGTCATGGTGTTTTCTCAGACTGTGTAGCGCGGGTACAGAGGTTCCTGGTCACCAAGCTGGGAGAGGACTGGATCTTCCTGGTGCTGCTGGGCATCTCAATGGCGCTGGTCAGCTGGACCATGGACTACACCAGCGCCAAGAGTCTACAATGTACTACAATACCCACAATGCAACACACACACACTAAACAATCCTGTTTTATGATGATGCAATATGCTTTTATAATGCTTGCATTCAAGCCACTGAACCGGCAGCTCATACAGTTGCATGAATGCTTTTACAGCATAAATAATTATCTAACCAGACACCTGGTTGCTTATTGTCGGAGGGTTAGTGTGAGTGATTATCGAAAAGGGTTGCAAAATAGTTCTGTGGTAACCTGATATGCTCAATTAAACTTGCAAAACAAACATTGCAAAATTATGAAATTATGTTTACAGTCATTACCCATATAAGGGAGTTTAGTGAAGTTTGGACCGCTATTGTTCTAATTTTATATGCTACCTCTCAGTGATATTATTCATAAACACAGAGTACATTTTCACTGATACGTGGATGATACACATCTGTGCATTGTAAAAAAATATTTGTTGATTCAACTTACAAATGTTTGTTAACAGGCTACCTTAAAATTCCATGTCAAGTCCAATTCGGATTTTGTGTGGAGTTAACTTCATCTAAAGTTCTTCAACCTGGTAAAGTTAGTGGAACTGACAAATGTGGATTTAATAACTTGTTGAATGAACTCCGTACTTTTAGTCAAATTAACAGATTATTTTTAGTTGTGCTAACAAATCTACTCAAGTTGTGTAGAGGACAAGTATTTGCTAGTCTGAAAAACTAAACAAAGTTTTTTCAACTTACCAAAGTTTGTTACCAGGCTGCCTTAAAATGTTAAGTTGTGTCAACTTCCAGAACTGACTAAGTCTTTGAAATGATATGATAGAAATTTCAGTGGGGAACATTATGCTCCCATCTGTCTCTTGCTCATGTGTGAGCTTTTTCGCCAGTTTTGAAATTGACAGTATACTCAACCAACCAACAGATCACTTTACCTACAATAGCATTCTCAGTAACAGTAGGCAGGTTTCCATTGACCCAGGTTTATTAGACAAAAGCAATGACGCAAAAAAAAATATTTGCAACATATGTAAAGGAAATGGCAGATTTCTTTTTTCGAACTGTAAAAAACATTTTGACAAATGTTGATGGAAACTGTGTTTTCCGAATAAATGATGATTGACAAATCAATTTGAAGGTACGTGGGGCACGTGATATCACCGCATAACTATAAAGCGCCACTCCACATTTCATTCTAAATACCTACTGCTTGCAAGAAAAAGTTTTACTATAAAAAAATAATGTTTCTTTGCAGGACAAGGATTGTCCTGACTTTCAAGAATACCTGAATTGCTTCACCTTGCTTTTCTGGTTGGCTGGCAAGTTTCACCATCCAATTATTTTAGATCTATAGGAGTAGGACGGATCGTGGCGGTACATTTACATTACATTTTAGTCATTTAGCAGACGCTCTTATCCAGAGCGACTTACAGTTAGTGAGTGCATTTATTATTATTATTATTTTTATTTTTTTCATACTGGCCCCCCGTGGGAAACGAACCCACAACCCTGGCGTTGCAAACGCCATGCTCTACCAACTGAGCTACATCCCTGCCGGCCATTCCCTCCCCTACACTGGACGACGCTGGGCCAATTGTGCGCCGCCCCACATGAGCACATGGCACATGAGAATTATTAGAATATGTATTAGTGGATTTATACAACGGGTGGGTCTAATCCTGAATGCTGATTGGTTAAAACCGCATTCCAGCCGGTGTCTATTCCACAAATTACCACCGGCTAAATCTATGACGTTAAAATGCCCATTTACTCTGTTCCATCTGACTGCGCAATCCGCTCTCTCATCAACCCAGCCAGGCACTTTATAAACTTGATCTCCACTGTAAAAAGCATTCAGAAATTATCTCAAATTTGTTTTAGACTAACATTTAGTTTTCAACAGCGGAGATTTGTATAAACCTTGCTGTCTGTCTCTGACATTTGCAACATTGTTTCATTAGAGAACACATTTTCTTTGCCAGGCGAAATTACCCCTCATTAGTTCATTGTTATGGATGTTTTCAAATAAATGTCAATAGAAAACAGCTTAAACAAATGCAAATGCAGCTACTGTTGTTATTCTGGCTGCACTGTCTAACGTGACTAAGTTAGCCGTAGTTGGCTAGCTAGCGAGCTATTTTCTATGTGAACTTTCTAAATGTCGACAAATAAATCACTGGGCAAGTTAATGGAAACAAAGCTACTGACAGAAACGTTTTACTTGTTCCTTTTTACATGTGGTTGTTTATCTACCTATGTTGAATGCACTAACTGAAGTCGCTCTGGATAAAAGCGTCTGCTAAATGTCCATTTTTGTTATATAAAACGCACAGTTGCAAAGTATGCTGGGTATTATTATAATGAGCCCCGCCCCCCCCCAAAAAAAATAATAATAATTTAAGTCCTCTGAACTTGACATTTTCAGTCAACACTACTGTTATGTTGCTTCCGTTGATTTGACTTCATGGTTGTGAATTTCTAAGTTGAGTAAATATTGTTTTTTGCTAACTCAATTAGATTTAATACGTTTTGACATTTTGAAGACATTTATTGTCAACTCAACACATTATTCAAATGTATTTTACTTGGCTAGACAAAACTAGTCATTTTGACTGAATCTCAATATCTTTTTTTTACATTCTTCCTTCCCCCCTCTGTTTTTCTCACATTCTCCTCTACCTTCCTGCTTTTTCTCACATTCCTTCACATGCCTCACCCCCCCCCCAGTGTATAAGTGGATTCACTGGGAGCTGAGGGGTAATGTCCTGCTCCAGTACCTGGCCTGGGTCAGCTATCCCATGGTGCTCATCATGTTCGCCTCCATCTTCTGCCACCTGGTCGCCCCGCAAGCCATCGGTGTGTACGTGCTCACGCGCTCAATGCTTACTGCTTCCTTTCCCCATCACCCGCCACCCCTAATGATCTGTTACCCGCAATCTGTTATCCATTGATCTTCTCCCCTCTCTGCATGTGTACCTACCTAGCCCTGGCCTCACACACTGATGTCCTCACTGTCTATCTAGAGTTATGACCCTTTCTTGTTGTTGAGTCAACATATCTTTTGTTTTCCTGTAAAACAACAATTGTGTAATTCTTTCTCTTCCCTGACCTCTTTTCACCTCCCCACCCTGTCTGTCTCTCTGTCTCTCTGTCTCTCTCTCTCTCTCTCTCTCTCTCTCTCTCTCAGGCTCTGGTATTCCTGAGCTGAAGACCATTCTCAGAGGGGTAGTGCTGAAGGAGTATCTGACTCTCAAGGCTTTTGCTGCCAAAGTCATTGGTCTGACTGCAGGTCTGGGCAGTGGGATGCCAGTGGGGAAAGAGGTGGGTTACACTCACTCACATCAGATTCCCTGATTACAGCTATCTAAAAAAAGACTACAAGTTTTCTTGTTTCTGCCCCCTTTTCTATTTTGCTTCCCAAGGGCCCATTTGTTCATATAGCCAGCATCTGTGCTGCTGTACTGAGCAAGTGTATGACATTCTTCTCAGGAGTCCATCAGGTTAGCATTTACCTGACCAGCATTGAAAATAACAAGGACATTACAGTTTTGTCGGATCACTTTGCATTATGCTTTTAGGCGTTTTTCATTTACTTTCTCTTTTCCTCCCTTACTTGTATGGGATCCTCTTATCCCTTTCCCTCTATCTGTCTGTCCCTTCCTCTCACTCTCTTCCTCTCCCCTCCTCTCTCTACCTTACCTCTCTGTCACCCTCGCTCTGTGTGCCAGTAGAGCCCATACTGCTACACAGACATCCTCACAGTTGGCTGTGCAGTTGGGGTGGGCTGCTGTTTCGGTACCCCTCTTGGAGGTACAACATTATTTTCCTTTTCCTCCTCTCTATTCACATTCCATTCATCTAGAATAAAGCAAGCTACAAAATCAGCTGAAACAATTGTCGTGTCTGAAAGTCAATATAGGCATAGTGCTGAAATCGCCTCAGTTAGATGTATTTGTGACAGGTCATCATAACAACAAGCCTTCAGTGTACAGTAAATATGCAATCTAGCCTTTGACTACATGCCACATTTTATAATATAATATCTGAATGATATTTTACTTGTCTTTCTTTGATCCTGTTGTGTCCACCAGGGGTGCTGTTCAGCATAGAGGTGACTTCCACTTACTTTGCTGTGAGGAACTACTGGAGAGGTTATTTTGCTGCCACCTTCAGTGCCTTCATCTTCAGAGTGCTCTCTGTGTTCAACAAAGATGCAGGTGGGTTAATGTACTATGACATCACTATGGGATGCAAGCTTTTTGGTAAACACATAACACTTTGTGACGTCTGTCTACAAACATGTTTGGCTAGAGGGCACCCTTTCCCATAGAACCATATCTGTGAAACTATATAGGCCTATTCAGGTATGATAATGAAAGCAGAAATTCTGCTAGGTGGTGCCCTCTGGTTTCCTCTATGATGTATAGTATGCATGTATAAATTCTAAGACTCTCTCTGTCTCTCTATTTACCTCTTCCCCCTGTCCTCTCATCCACTATAGTCACCATCACTGCTCTCTTCCGCACCAAGTTCCGCATGGATTTCCCCTTTGACCTCCAGGAGCTGCCAGCATTTGCCATCATCGGGTGAGAGAAAGGGTCAAGAGGGGGCCCCAGGAGCGTGGTGAGGGCACGGTGACCACACTGTGCGTAGTTCTTTGTCACAACCCAACATGAATGCATAATCTCAGTCTATGTGCCATAAATCTCTTATATTGGTAGTTATTATAAGAACTGAGATGCTGTGAATGGTTTTTCTTGCTAGTGTTCTTGCTTCAGCTTCCTAGACTACAGATCTATCAATAAATATAGGCTAGATCAACACTAACTAAATTAACAGCTGAAGCAAGCGCATATACACTGAGTGTACAAAACATTAAGAACACATGCTCTTTCCATGACATAGACTGACCAGGTGAATCCAGGTGAAAACTATGATCCCTTATTGATGTCACCTGTTAAGTCCACTTCAATTAGTGTTGATAAAGGGGAGGAGACAGGTTAAAGAAGGATTTTTAAGCCTTGAGACAATTGAGACATGGATTATGTATGTGTGCCATTCAGAGGGTGAATGGGCAATACGAAAGATTTAAGTGCCTTTGAACGGATTATGGTAGTAGGTGCCAGGCGCACCGATTTATGTCAAGAACTTCAACACTGCTGGGTTTTTCATGCTCAAGAATGGTCCACCACCCTAAGGACATCCAACCAACTTGACACAACTGTGGGAAGCATTGAAGTCAACATGGGCCAGCATCCCTGTGGAACGCTTTTGACACCTTGTAGAGTCCATTCCCCAATTAATTGAGGCTGTTCTGAGGGCAAGAGGGGGGAGGGGTGCGCAACTAAATATTAGAAAGGTGTTCTTAATGTTTTGTACACTCAGTGTTTATTCTTTAGAAAATGTAAATTTTTTGTTCTTATTTGGACCTTGGGAGTGAGTGAGGTAAAGGTCCTGGTGGTTGTCTCTTCAGGATCTCCTGCGGGTTCCTGGGGGCCTTCTTCGTCTGGCTGAACCGCCAGGTGGTGCTGTTCATGAGGAAACCCAATGCCATGACACGCTTCCTCACCAGACAGTGAGTACCAGGGATGGGGGATGGATTTTGATGGGACACTTGAGGAAAATGCACACCTGAATTGGAGAGGATCAGGCTATGGACTTAGATTGGAATCTAAATAGAATAGAATATAATTATTCATTGTCCTCCCCCAAATAAATTATTGTTGCCGACTGGTAGATTTTACAAAAACAAACAGAAAATCAAACCATCACCCAGACATTGATTGATCCATCTATAAGCAGTCGGTGGTCTCTGAAAAAGAAACTAGTTACACACTCTCGCTCCAATACAAATGAATGATTTAGCAGCAACCAGTGCAGCTGCTTTTGTCAGAGCTGCACATAGTTACACTGTAGATGATGGACGGGAGCACTGAAATTAGGCCAACAGAGAGCAGGACGGGGTAATTATATTGTCAGCTTTGAAAGTGTTAAATTGGTGCTTGTTCTTAGGCCTGTCCTACTGGGAGACAGAGGGGGGTTATCTTATCTTATAGGAGGAGAAGCAGGACATTTTTGAAGAGGGTATTGTGGCATAGGTTGCAGTTATATTGAGAAGGTTATACAGTGCCTTCAGAAAGTATTCACACCCCTTGACTTTTTCCACATTTTGTTGTTTTACATAACGGGATTAAAATGGATTTGTCATTTTTTGTCAAATATCTACACGAAATACTCTAATGTCAAATTGGAAGAAAAAATCTTTTTTTTTTGTGGAAAATAAAACACTAATATATTTTGATTATATTTTATAATTCTTCAAGCTCTGTCAAGTTGTTTGTTGATTATTGCTAGACAGCCATTTAAAAGTCTTGCCATAGATTTTCAAGCCGATTTAAGTCATAACTGTAAATAGGCCACTTAGGAACATTCAATGTCTTCTTGGTAAGTGAGTAATTGTCCCGCTGAACGGTGGATTTCTCTCCTAGTGTCTGTTGGAAAGTAGTCTGAACCAGGTTTTCCTTTAGGGCTTTGCCTGTGCTTAGCTCTATTCCTTTTCTTTTTATCCTAAAAAAACTAAATTGCCGATGACAAGCATACCCATAACATGATGCAGCCAAAACCATGCTTGAAAATATTAAGAGTGGTACTCAGTGATGTGTTGTGTTGGATTTGCCCCAAACATAATGCTTTGTATTCAGGACAAAAAGTTAATTTCTTTACCATATTTTTTGCAGTATTACTTTAGTGCTTTGTTGCAAACAGGATGTACTGTATGTTCTGGAATATTTGTATTCTGTACAGGCTTCCTTATTTTCACTATGTAATTTAGGTTAGTATTGTGGAGTAACTACAATGCTGTTGATCCATCCTCAGTTTTCTCCTATCACAACTATTTAACGCTGTAACTGGTTTAAAATCACCATTGGCTTTCCTACCTGTCAACTGAGTTAGGAAGGAGGCCTGTATCTTTGTAGTGATTCCAAAGTGTAATTAATAACTTCACCATGCTCAAAGGGATATTCAATATCTGACTTGTTAAGCTAATTTTTACTCCTGAAATTATTTAGGTTTGCCATAACAGAGGTTGAATACACATACAATCCGGCGTTGCAAGCGCCCTCTGCCAACTGAGCTACAGGGATATAGAGTTGAAACATAGAGTTGAAAGAGAATGGCTGTTTTTAATCCTTATTCTTTCACCAGCCGACTGATTTTCCCTGGTGTTGTGACGTTAGTGATAGCCACCTTGACCTTTCCCCCTGGATTTGGACAATTCATGGCTGGAGAGGTCAGATTTCAAATTAAATTTTGTTTGCCCATTTTTGTGTTATCTGTCACTATGTTAAAATGAATATACTCTGTAGAAGATCCTATTTATCGGGATGTGAAAACACGTAACACTTATGAATACGCATAAATGTTATATAGTGTTACGAAAATTGTTATGCGACTTATTCTATTCCCAATCATGAAAAACATAACTGCAGAGACACATTCATAGGATTATCTAAAGAGTATAACTGTTTACTTAAATGTGTGAATTGTTAGCGCTGTCATTTCAACCCAAAACATTTATGTGATGACGTTAAACTCATTGGATTTGAAAAGGCAGGTAAGGGCATTTCGTATTTTTTTCACCCAACTTTTAACCTAAATTCTGGGAGTCGAAGCAAGTACAGGGAGTGAATTTAATAATAAATGAAACACGAGTAGCGTACAGACATGAAACACAGGAACAGAAGCAATAACGCCTGGGGAATGAACCAAAGGGAGTAACAGATATTGATAGGGGAGGTAATCAGGAAGGTGATGGAGTCCAGGTGAGTCTCATGAGGCGCGTAACGATGGTGACAGGTGTGCGTAATAATGAGCAGACTGGCGACCTCGAACGCCGGAGACAAAATCCAATGACATGGTTGGCATTTTTTTTTTATTTCACATTGAATTCACGTTAGTTGACAACTCAACCAAATGTACATCAAAGCTAGACATCGCACTAACGTCTGTGCACAGTGGCTGGCTACCATTACCAGTATGTTTCTGCTCTCATGAGAATTCCACAAGGAGTTACATTTTACATTTTAGTCATTTAGCAGACGCTCTTATCCAGAGCGACTTCCAATTAGTGAGTGCATACATGGACTGGGTAGAATCTAGATGCTCAATATTAGCTGGATATTAATTGAAGAAGCCTCTTTGCCCAGCCATGCAGAAATAAACCTAGGTTAATCATGTATTTTGAGAATGAATGAGGTGTGTTTAAAGCAGCCAGAAATAACTGTGTGGGTGGCATCTTCACCCTCAAGCTACGATGTTTAGCACCTTTTTAAGATGGGACTTGTGCCCCATTTCTACGGTGCTAAAATGCAGAGGTATTTCGAAAACCGACCATTTTGCTCACATTACAGTATTCGCATTTATTTCAAAACCTCTCTTTTGGCAATATATTGAATAGGCCTATGGGTTGACATATGTGATGCACACAAAGCAAACTTCATCTGCAGTATTTTGAATAAGTTCTGACTACAGTACAGTTGGTTTTGTCAAAATATCACTATATTTATATATTTAAACTATTCATTACACGTTTTAAGTGGTTTTCATTAAAACGTTTTAACAGTGTTTTTCATTAAAACGTTTTAACAGCATTTGCCATTACTTTTCCCTCATCCGTTCCCTTATTTCATGCCACATATAGCTGATGCCCAGAGAATGCATAAACTCACTGTTTGACAACTTCACCTGGACCAAAATCTGGGGTTCCCCCCATCCCCCCGGCCTGGGGCGCTCCTCTGCCTGGCTGCACCCCGACGTCAGCGTCTTCGTCATCCTCCTCCTCTTCTTCATCATGAAGGTAGCGCTCCTCATTCACCTACTCCTTCTTTTTTTCCACACCGTAGCGTTTGTCAGTATAGTCACACATTGCACATAGCGTCACTCAGTACAATGACAGACTCCTGGCTGAGTCACTCATCTAAGTAGAATAAGAATCTCCTATAGAGAAGAACCCTGTAGTGGAGATGTAATCCTTAACACTGCATCAGTAACACACTTTACATAGTTGCCTAGAGATTTCCACTGTGTGTACTAGAGGATAAGAGTGTAATACTGTGAGTGTTAGCATCAGTATGATTAGCGTTTCCCATTGAGAATAAATTGATTTGTATCTTGTCGCAATGGTATTATAGGATTGGAGAACTGTCATTGAATAGAGCAGTCGGGAATGTAGTCTATTATGTGTATTAAAGTCAAATAATTCCTCTACACTATTGTGGAAGTACTAAGATGCATTAATTCTGCTCAGTTACTAATTGAATTCCACCCATGTCTCAGTTTTGGATGTCTGCTGTTTCGACGACGATGCCCATCCCTTCTGGAGCCTTCATGCCTGTGTTCATACTCGGTAAACAGAAGCGCAACATTATAGTATGTCATTAGTCTTAATATGAACACAAATTCCATATCAGTTTTAAATATTTAGTCTCATGTAAATTGACATTATCGTTCGGTGGTGAAATAATCTGATAGAGCGTTCCAACAGTACATGACTATGGCATAAAGCATAATGGGTAATCATGAAGTAGAGCATTCTGGGTAGTTTTTAATCAGTGTACCTTCAAGGATGAGATGTCATATATAACCAAAGAGTGAAAAATCATTAGTGAGCCACAGAGGTAGATGAGTGCTTAGGAGAAGGTCAAATGAACATTGAGTGGCGGAGGAGGGGGGATAAATGTCAGATAGCCAACATAATAGCAACGTAAACATGACATTCCACCTCCCATATCCACCATCATCTCTTTCTTCCCAGGAGCCTCTTTCGGCCGACTGGTGGGGGAGATCATGGCTGCCCTCTTCCCCCACGGGATTCTGTTTGATGGAATCTTGTACCGCATCATCCCAGGAGGGTACGCAGTCATTGGTCAGTCTCCCTTTCCACCTCCTCCTCTCCGTCTCTGTCAGTGCCTGCCCGTCATCACCCTATTGTCCCTTTGATGTGATAGTAAAATGTCACTGTCTGTTCTCTCTCCTGTCCTCCGCTGTCTCGGTGACCCATAAACCTATACGCTACCATTCATCTTCATCTTCTCTCTCTCGCCCTACACACCCCCTTCCCCTCCTCTTTACCTCTGCTCCTTTTTTCCATCCACCCATCACCCCCACCCCCCCTTTCATATCTCCATCTCCTGTGGATCATCCATCCCTTCCACCTGAAAATGACTTCTTTCTCCCCTTTTCTCTTTCTCTCCCTCCCCATCCCTCTCTCCCTTCCTCTCTTCCATTTCTCCCTCTCTCCCCCCTTTCCCTGCTCTTCTCCCGCCTCTCTCCCAGGAGCGGCGGCACTGACCGGGGCGGTGACCCACACGGTGTCCACGGCGGTGATCTGCTTCGAGCTGACGGGCCAGATCTCCCACATCCTGCCCATGATGGTGGCGGTGATCCTGGCCAACATGGTGGCCCAGGGCCTGCAGCCCTCGCTCTACGACTCCATCATCCAGATCAAGAAACTGCCTTACCTCCCTGAGCTGGGCTTTGGACACATCAGGTGTGCAGAGAGAAGCTGCAACCGAGGTGACATGTTGGCTCTGAGGGACCCAGTCGTATTGAGGGTCCCATGCGAAAACAATGAGTTGTTTGAGTCAATATGGCCGCCTCAGCATGCTTGATTCTTCAACATAGACACACCTGAAGTACACAAGTGTTGAGCATGATTGAATGATTGGCATTTCCTTCTGACTTACAGCCAGTATAACATCTTTGTGGAGGACATCATGGTTAGGAAAGTGAAGTTTCTCTCGTTACAGTCCACCTACAGGGAGTTGATACACCTCCTGGACTCCACTTCTCTCAAAACGATACCACTAGTGGATTCAACAGGTAAAATGAATGTATTTTTCGTGAACGTGAGGATATATTTCAGTGTCTTCGAATCATTTCTTGAGTGGTTCATCATGTGACTCTCTCTTCCCTGTAGATTCTATGATCCTATTAGGCTCTATCGAGCGGTCAGAGCTTCACGCTCTCTGTGATTGGTGGCTCTCTGCTGAGAGGCGGATCCTTAGGCAGGAACAGCGTTTACAGGAGCAGAACCAGTATGCCAAAGACAGCTGGGAATCCTTTGCCTTTGTGGATGAAGATGATGAGGAGAGTGGAGATAAGGTTTGTCAGAGAGACCGAGGGTAAATGTTCAAAAGGAGTCAAAAACAAACTCTTAGAAAATCAATCAAGTCAAAGTTTATTGGTCGTGTACACAGATATGCAGATGTTATCGCAGGTGCAGCAAAATAGGGTTCTAAAAGGGTTATTCTACAGGGACTAGGTTCTACATGGGTCTACATGCAACTTTTTTAATTCAAGAAGGTTCTTCGGAGGGTTCTAAAACGATTATTTGTTTGGTGACAAGGTTCTACCTGGAACCAAAAAGTGTTCTTCTATAGGGACAAGCTGGAAAACCATTACTGAAGCATCATGTGGCAAGGAACTTATTGTATTATGTCATTATTCAAGCTGTGAATGTGATGATTGACTGTTTTGTTAAATTTCCCAGAGCACCCCAGTTCAGGAAGAGCGAAATGGCCCCCTGCCATCTCCTAAACCGCAGGAGCCCTCGTCCAATCACACAGCTCCTGGTGAGTTGAACCATCTCTGTGGAACAATACTTCTATGGGTGCCTGGCAACAGTCACCTATTATTATACAGCTTATTGCATAATCATATTATTATACAGCTTTGAATTATTTAGTTATCAATCTCAACATCAAGACACCTTTGTAAAATACTTTGACCCTCCTCCATCACATCTTTTATCATCTGTCCTTTTCAGACAAGGGCCCTCTTCAGTCGGTTAGGAGAACTCTACAGAATATCTTCTCCTCCCAAGACAGACAGGCAGAGGGACAGTCACAGGTAGTCTATAACTGTGTGTGTACAGAATGTCTGTGTCTGTTTCTGTGCATGTGACTGTACGGTAGTGCTGAGTGAATAACCAAAATGTTGGTTATTTTTCGGTTTTTAAACAAGTAATTGATCAACTTCAGTTAAATTATTAGAATTTCAGTTAGTTCAGTTTTTTTCTGTGAGCTCAATGCGCATTTTCTCTAGAGATAAATCAGATCAAGCCCGAACTGTGCGATGTAGTAGGGAGTTGTAGTTTTCAACAGGCCAATATTCTGGTAATTAACTACAATGACCATAATCCATTGTGCGCCTACTTGTCCGGTCCATGTGGTAGAGATGAGATGATGACTTGGAATTCAATAATAAAGTCATCAAATAAAACAAATGTAATATACACTGATTATACAAAACATTAGGAACACATGCTCTTTCCATGACAGACTGACCAGGTGAATCCAGGTGAAAGCTATGAACCTTTATTGATGTCACCTGTTAAATCCACTTCAATCAGTGTAGATGAAGGGGAGGAGACAGGTTAAAGAAGTATTTTTAAGCATTGAGACAATTGAGACATGGATTGTGTATGTGTGCCATTCAGAGGGTGAATGGGCAAGACAAAATATTTAAGTGCGTTTGAACGGGGTATGGTAGTAGGTGCCAGGTGCAACGCTGCTGGATTTTTCACACTCAACAATCTCCTGTGTGTATCAAGAATGGTCCACCACCCAAAGGACATCCAGCCAACATGGCCCAGCATCCCTGTGGAACGCTTCCGACACCTTGTAGAATCCATGCCCCAACGAATTGAGGCTGTTCTGAGGGCAAAAGGGGATGCAACTCAATATTAGGAAGGTGTTTCTAATGTTTTGTACACTGTGTACACAACTGAAATATTTTATTAAAGTAATGTGAATAAAGTGATAAGCAGTAATGGGCAGTCACTGCCATCATGGGACTTTTATTAATTGTTTTATTCTGTGTCGTTACAGCATACAACTCACATAATGCATAGGGCATTTAATGTAAAAAAAAATTATCATCAAAATCGAAAACGTGATAATTTTTTCATAATCGAATCAAAACTGAACCAACCTCAAAAAGCACTAATCGCTCAGCACTACTGTACGCACACCAATGTCTTCCTAACGATCACTAAAGTATTTCTGAAGTCAAAAATTTAGCAGCAAATAAATGACTGGGGTAATGAGCCGTTGAGATGTAGATAGTCTATCCTTGGCAGTTAAATTGAAAACCAGATTTCAAGATGGGAAATATAAATATTTATCCATTATATTTGCATGGGATGAATCTTATTACTGGGCTCTGCTCTTTATGTAAACACACTTCTTTATCTAATTGAGTGTGACAAATGAATTCACAAAAATTGCAAATGGGTATTGCTCCCTAGTCAAACATATTCCCTCTGAGTTCTCTCATATGAAAATCAGCATATGAAATATGGTTATTATTTGCCTGGTATGGCTGGATGGCTTTTCATATTACAAATGTATACTGCAAATATGAAAAACAATGTATGTTAATGATACTATTCAATCTCCCTATTCATTGTTGATCATAATATTTTGCCACTCATCATAGTTTTACTACTGGATAGCCCAGCCTTTGGATTGAATTGTACACCCCAAACTTGTTACTATTTCATTTTGAAAAGCCAAGTCCATAACTATTTTATACTCAAGGATGTGCTTGTAAGTATGGGAATTGAATTGGATTCATACTATTCCTGCTGCACAAAGTACTGTCTATCTCTCTTTTCAGTCTTGATTTGTCAATTTTCCCACACAAGCCCATCGTTGTTGTAGAGTCTTCTACTGGCTAGCACAGCCTTGGGGTTGAATTGTACACCCTAAACTCATTACTATTTCATTCTGAAAAGTTAATATTATGTTTTACACAAACGCCTGGCTTAAAAAACCAACAAGAGTACATCCATGAACATGCAGCCCACACAAAACCTGTTATTCTTGACTCTGTATTCAACCAAATACGGTACATAATTCAATATATTTTGAAGAGACAAATATTAGTAATTGGTTTCAAGAACAGCGATAATCAGCTAGGTTATGGGATGCAGAAAATGTGGGCAACAAAAAATGTGTGCATGACGTTAGTCAGGAAGTGTCTTATCTTACCTCCCGCTATTTTCTCTCTATCTCATCAGGAGCCTTGCGCCAACCCTCCCCTGTCCGATACGATGACACCAGAAGAGGTAACTGATCTCATTCAGGTCCACTTAAGTGCGGTCCCAAGAACTTTACATCCCCTGGTGGCAGACCAAATGATTAGAGTAGGCTGCATTGTACATTTTCCAACACTTTTGACCTTGTCAAAAGAGTCTGGGCTAATATGTTGAAACCCTTAAGAGGGTTAAAAAGTGTCAACAACCCTAAATCTCTTATGGAGGCAGTTGACGTTGAAGGTTGCATTTTAGAGTGTATTTAGCCAATTACAGTGTTGTGTTTCTTGACCTTGTGTCTTATTGGCTGGTGCAGATCAAAGAATGGGAGGAGGCCGAGATGGACAAGCCAATGGAAATTGATCAGATCCGAATAGATCCCTCCCCTTTCCAGCTGGTGGAGAGGACATCACTACACAAGGTTGGTTGAAGTGCTGCCAATTCATACCAATTTGGAGATACAGTATCTGACATAATGTCTAGACACAAGTGAAATACAACCGATAGTAGATTTGCTCAGAACAGAAGCCATAGCAGAATGTTGAACCTAGAGCAGTTAAAAGTGGGGCCTAATTTGACGTCTGACCTTTTCTGCCTGTCCCAGACCCACACTCTTTTTTCATTACTGGGCCTGAGTCATGCCTATGTCACCAGTATCGGAAAACTGGTGGGTGTTGTGGCACTTAAAGAGGTAAGAAAATGACTTTTTTTTTTCTCATTTTCGCTTTCTTTTATCTCTCTCTCTATTTCTACTCTACAGTATTTCATTCTCTTTTGCTTGTGACTGAACCTGACAATTTAGTAAGGGTTGAGTCATATTGCCATATGAGTCTACTTATCATGCTATTTTCATGTAATTCAATGTTGTGTTCTTCTAATGTTTCCCCTCTCTTTCCCTATCCCTACAACCCCATTCTCTCTTAGCTCCAAAAGGCCATCGAGGGCTCTACGCGTAGCGGGGTCCGGCTACGTCCCCCCCTGGCCAGCTTCCGCAACATCAGCCGAAAGTCATCCAAGCCCCAGACAACCTCCGCCCCCTCCTCCCCTCTCTCCCCCGCTCCCGTCGTCCCCCACGCCCCTGCCCCACCACCACCTCCCCTGACACAGGAGGAGGAAGAGATGGAGGTGTGGATCGAGGGCACGAGGCGGGAGGTGGCGGAGGTGATCAGCAGTAGTAGCAGCAGCGGAACGGGGAGCAGCAGTAGCAACAGTAGCCCTTCGCTACCCCACTCCTCGCCCCTCTCCATCCCCCTCACCTCACCCCTCTCCATGCCCCTCACCGCCTTCTCCACCCCCCTCACCGCCCTCCGGCCTGCCACAGAGCAGCAAGTGGAGGAGGAGGAGAGTGATGATGAGGAGCCCATCTAGCCTTATAGACGAGTTATGTTTTTTTATAACGTTTTTTTTTATGGCGTGAACTTCTCTTTTAGTCTTTCGCTATCCCTCCATTTTCTCTCTCTCCCTATCTCGCTGTTCCCTCTCGCTCTGTCTTTCTTCTCTCTGTGAATCCATGAGGATAAATAATCTGGGCTTGATTGTAGTACTTGACTTTTTAAGATGATCATTAGTGTCATTGGTTTTAAACGGGAGACAATGGCTACCAGTGGTGTTTCAAGAGGCCAAACACAACTTCTAATCTCATCCTCACCTAGTGAGGGAGTTCTATGATCACCATGCTGGGTTGATAGATGAGTGTTAAATCAGACTGACGACAGCCAACTCAGATGTAATGATGCTAGAGATTTTTTACTTAATGATGCTATGGCTACAAACGGAACAACCACCATCCATCCCCCTTTGTCATTTTGATTAATCGCTCACTTGATGATAACGCAAAACAAACACATGCTGAATGATTTTACGATGGTGACTTTTCCTACCTCCCCCCCAAAAAGCTGGGTCGTGTTCTTTAGGCACTAGATGGAGGAAAATGGACTGAAACAGGAGGGACTACCTCAAACTCGGCCAATAAGAAATGCTCATTTTCATTTTAGGTTGCGAAACATTGTAAAATGTTAGTCTTTGCATGCCCTAATGAACATAACCCTGATGTTCTTCTGACACCACTGAGCACAGAAGAAAAAATAAACAGTATGACAGTGTTATATGTGAAAAGTAGTTGAATTATGAATGAACTTCTCTCGCTCTACCACAACTGCTTTTCTCTCTCTCTCGTGCTCTCTCTCTCGCTCTCTCTCCTTCAAACAGTTTCTCAGGTTGCTCCCTATGTCTTTAAACCTGCAGATGTTGGACAGAGGATTCTTTGCTGTCTGTTAAATGAAAAGGATTTCAATTCTATTGTGTCAATCTGTTTTTTAATGTTTGAATGTACAGTATGTATAGTGTGCTCGTATGTGTGAGCACACGTGTTTACGTTTATCTGTCTGTGTTTAGTCATGTATTTATTTATTTATCTTTCGTAGAACCAATTTTTCTCAGAATATATAAACGATGACTAATGTAGTTAATAAAGGTTAATAACTTATCTGCCAAATGCTTTGTTGTTGTGATTATTCAATGCATATGGATTTGGAACAAAATAATAACTTGTATATAATGATTAAAGTAAAACTAATACAACTATTATAAAACTATTACTACAAAACTTAATGCTACTTAATTTATATTAAATGAACATAGGCTTTTTGAATAAACTTTGTACTACGCAACATGCCTGTTCATTTAAAGCAATAGAGCCATTTTTGTCATATTGATGAATTGGTAAACAAATTAGTGCTTCCCAGCTCCACTCCCACACGCCAATCTTTTTCTAACTCTCACTTCTATTATAATCAATGTTAGAGGCAGTAAAACAATGTCCTCCAACAGAACAATTAGTCAGTTATAAAGAGACAGAGAGAGGGTAGTGAAGCCTACAGTAAGACGCCAGTAACGAAACCAGAAAAGCCATATTGTTTACAGGACTAACGCTCCAGATTTCATAGCATTGTGGGCGGAACTAATGGATTCCAAAATTCAATGAATAAATGTTGTGCCCTTTTAATCATTTTCAGCTATGTCAGAATTAATGGGATATTTGAGTTGTCCTTTATCCATGGCGGATGTGAGTGACCCAGTATACTCTCTGAATCCTAAACCAGCTGGCAAGCATACAGAATTGCAATTTTAATTTTAATTAAAGGAAATATAATTGAATTCAGTGAAATTCAAATACCTCTTCTATTCTATATTTGGTACAAAAATACATTGTGTACATAAAACATCAATGAAAATATAATTGGCTATTCTAAGTACTAAGGTTAAAAGAGTACATGAACATTCTTTCCAGAGAAAAGTTATATATATTCTATGGTATCTTTGGTATTTGTAAAATGTAAATGTAATGTATCTGTAAGTGTGACCTGTCAGATTCAATGAAACTCTCATGTTTTATGATTGAGTGGAATTTCTTTGAATTGCACTGAATTAAATTATACTTCCTGTCACTCAAACCGAAGTTTAAATTCTACATCCTAACGCTAATTTGTATGGCTAATTCAATTAGAATTTCAACTCATGAGTTGAATGGGAGTCAAACTTCTAAATTGAGCCCAACCCTGGCATGCAGTGGCCAACAAGCGTCCCACCAGAGCTTTAAATGGTATATGTGACCGACCACCTCGATTCGGTCTTATGTTGCAAAATTTGAAATGAGGATTTTTATATTGGATAAAAGTATTGTATATCATACGCTGCAGGTGAGGAACACTGGGAAAGTAATTTTGCTTTCAAAGTTGATAAACTTGTAACCCCACTTTTGAGAAAATGGCCCATGAATGTTTTGGTACTCCTACTGGAGAGCTCTTCTTTGTCTACAACTATTCAGTATCGTTCACACTCTCTTAAGCCTTAGCCCCACCCATCTCTTTAAGGATTCACATGCGAGGCACCTGGCTAATTTGATGGGTCATGTAATCATCTGGTGAAGTGGAGTTTGTTTTTAGACATGTAGCTAGCTAGCTAGCTAGCTAGCTAAACAATAAAAACAGATTGTCATAGCTAGCTACCATGCATGAACTGTTGTTGAGAGCAGTAGCAACACTTTTTGCAGTTCTCCATGGCTAACGTTATATCTTTCAAAAAAGTTGCGGTAGCAAGGATTATCTACACATACTAAGCAGCTCATGTTATAGACAGAAGCATGCTACATGCCAGACCAATCCAAACTCATCTCTCGGCATGTCCAGACCATCCATTATCTCAGCCAATCATGGCTAGCGGGAAGGTTCCTGTCTTTTTCTGTGACTAAACCAACTAAGCTTGTAATTTAACAATTGTATTCATATTTACAGATGGCATACAAGTTTGTTATTAAGGCACATGAAAGTTCACGTTCCAGCAGGCATTTCTGCCCCAAAACACATTTTGATCCCTCTCTTGTGAAGTAGTGATGTGCGACATAAGCCTAGCTTCCTGAAACAGTCACAAATTATCCATATTTTTTGTGTGTGTATGTAATCTCAGAAACCAAGAACTCAAATCTTGCGTCAAACGCTCAATGAAGTTATGTTAGAAAATATACTAAAACAAGGAGCGGAACTCTCTCTCTCTCTCTCTCTCTGCAAGTTTATGAGCCAAATGTCCCCTCCCCTTCTGAAATATATATCACCTTTTTTGGGGGGGTCATTTAGCAGAAGCTCTTATCCAGAGCAGTTTACAGTAGTGAGTGCATACATTTGAGTAGTTTTTCATACCAGTTCCCTGTGGGAATCCAACCAACAACCCTGGCATCGCAAGAGCCATGCTCTACTAACTGAGCCACACGTGAGCCAAAAATGCAAGCTCCTGTGAAATGGTGATTTGTCCAAAATGATCAGAGACAAAAATCTGACCACTGAAACGAAGTTGCTTATTGGTCGTCATATCCCATAGTCTGTTGAAAGACGTTCCGATACCATTTATGTTACGTGCGTCTGAGATTAGTTTGTGTGTAAAACTATTGAACACCACACACAATACCACTGCCAACAAGAATATGTTTTTCGAGAATATATATATATTTTTGCATACATACATAAATACATACAAACTGTACATACATACATTCAAACATTTGAACACTCTTACATACACCTACATGCACACACACGCACGCAAGCACACACACACACAAACACACTAATACATATTACTTTATTTCCTTTTTCGTTTTTATAAAAAATCATTTAGATATTTTTACTTTGTATACGGTTTACTATTATCGTTAAATTACTTTCAAAAGCATGCACTTTCTTTTGGTTGTCTCGTGATTTTCTGTATTGCACTGATCTTTTCCCAGCATTATTTTTCTTTCTCTCTACTCCATTCTTTCAATTTCATTTCCATAGTTCAATATCACTGCAAAACAAGTACTCACGTTTATGCAAACCTACACATTTTAGCAGTCAATGAGTTGTCTTTAAAGTTCCCTTTCAGCATTGTCATATCCAATACTTTCTCCTCCAGGAAAAGTTGTTCTGTTTTTTTTCAGTCCCAGAGTGGGTAAATAGCTGGAAGGGGGGAAGAATAGCTTGATTGGTTGATTATTGATAAGTATATCCTGTTTGTCAGTCTCTCTTTCTGGCTATCCCCCTCAATTGGTCGCCACGGCAACAATAGACCCCTTCACCACCTCTTCGTCCTTCTCCTCCAACGATTGGACAATGCAGGGTGTGACCACAAAGGGTATGCGCTCTGCCATTAGTTCTGTGCGTGCTAGTTGTGGACTGGTGCCTCCAATCGGGGTGGCGTCTTCTCTAAGCGGGGACGGGGTCAAAGTTGGTTCTAAGGTTAACGTAACCTCATCTTCCTGTGAAAACAGTAAATGGATGGTTTACTGGCTATACTGTACTTACCAAACTGTGAGGATCAGTCAAGAGGAACTACCTGTGGGCACATCATAAATCCATAACCCATTCATTAGCCTTGAACGATATCTTGTGGCTGGAGGACTTTGAAGTAAAACACTTGTAGTAGCCAAGCCAAACATAAAATCAATAAATCATAGCACCTTTTTTTGGCTCACTCAGTAATTTTACCTGATAAAGTAGAATCCTGTTAAAATATAATGTTACATCTACCATTTATATTGCTAAAACATTTTTTTATATATACTATTGCTGCTTCCTGTTGTCATGGCTTTTTGATCTATGGCCGAGTGTCAAAACACTGGTTTTATATTGTCACGCCCTGGCTCTGGGACTCTGTTATGTTGAGCCAGGGTGTATAGTTTCTATATGTGTGTGTTCATTCTAGTATTGTATTTCTATGTTGGCCAGTGTGGTTCTCAATCAGAGGCAATGTGTATCAGCTGTTGCTTGTTGTCTCTGATTGAGAACCATACTTAAGCAGCCAGTTTTCCCACACTGTTTGTGGGATCTTGTTCCGTGTTGGTTTATGTGTGTTAACCAAGGACTTCACGTTATCGTTTGTTGTTTTGTTCGTGTTAATTAATAAATAAGTATGTTTGCAAATAACGCTGCGTGTTGGGCCTCCTCCTTCGACGATCGTGACAGAAGATCCCACCACTACAGGACCAAGCAGCGTGCTCAGGAGCAGACAGCCTGGACGTGGGAGCAGATATTGGACGGGCAGGGGTCCTGGACCTGGGAGGAAATCCAGGCCGGGATGGATCGCCGTCCGTGGGAGGAGACGGTGGAGGCGCGCCGGAGAGAGGAGCAACGGCGTCAACAGTGTCGTCGTCGGACGGACGAGAGGCAACCCCAAAAAATGTTTAGGGGGGGGCACACGGCATGGGCGACAGGGCAGCAGGAGGCAGCTACAGGACGTATTGGGAGGTTAGGAGAGGAGGCCTCCAGGTTAAGGAGGCTATTGGTAAGGAGAGAGCAGGAGTTAGTGGGTCAGAGGGAGGAGCTACTGGAGGCTAGAAGGGAGAAGGAGAGAGTAGAGGCAAGGCCAGAGGAACTGAGTAGGCAGCTGAGGGAGCGGAGGGTTATGAAGAAACCCAGTCCCGCTCCTCACACCAAGCAAGTGGTGTGTGTCACCAGTCCGGTCCGGCCCGTTCCTGCTCCCCGCACTAAGTTAGTAGTGCGTGTTCCCAGTCCGGCCCGACCCGTTCCTGCTCCCCGCACTAAGTTAATGGTGCGCATCGTCAGCCCGGTCCGGCCTGTTCCGGCTCCCCGTACCAAGCCAATGGTGCGCGTCGTCAGCCCGGCCCGGCCTGTTCCGGCTCCCCGTACCAAGCCAATGGTGCGCGTCGTCAGCCCGGCCCGGCCTGTTCCTGCTCCCCGCACCAAGCCAATGGTGCGCGTCGCCAGCCCGGCCCGGCCTGTTCCTGCCCCTCGCACCAAGCCTACGGTGCGCGTCGCCAGCCCGGCCCGGCCTGTTCCTGCTCCCCACACCAAGCCAATGGTGCGCGTCGCCAGCCAGGTCCGGCCTGTTCCTGCTCCCCGCACCAAGCCAATGGTGCGCGTCGCCAGCCCGGCCCGGCCTGTTCCTGCCCCTCGCACCAAGCCTACGGTGCGCGTCGTCAGCCCGGCCCGGCCTGTTCCTGCCCCTCGCACCAAGCCTACGGTGTGCGTCGCCAGCCCGGCCCGGCCTGTTCCTGCTCCCCGCACCAAGCCAATGGTGCGCGTCGCCAGCCCGGCCCGGCCTGTTCCTGCCCCTCGCACCAAGCCTACGGTGCGCGTCGCCAGCCCGGCCCGGCCTGTCCCTGCTCCCCGCACCAAGCCTGTGGTGCGCTTCATCAGCCCGGTTCGGCCCGTCCCTGCTCCCCACACCAAGCCTGTGGTGCGCGTCGTCAGCCCGGTCCGGCCCGTGCCTGGGTCACCGGTGCCTGGTCAAGTACCGGTCAGCTGCTCCACACCGGAGCCTAAGCAATCCGCTCCAACAATGTCCAGTCCAGCTCCAGCCAGCGGGGCCAGACTGGACCAGGGGCGCTACGGGGGGATTGTTGGAGGGTGGTGGTCAAGCCCGGAGCCGGAACCGCCTCCGAGGAGGAATGCCCACCCAGCCCTCCCCTGTTCGGTTTATGTTTAGGCGCGGTCGCAGTCCGCGCCTTTGGGGGGGGGGGGGGGTACTGTCACGCCCTGGCTCTGGGACTCTGTTATGTTGAGCCAGGGTGTGTAGTTTCTATATGTGTGTGTTCATTCTAGTATTGTATTTCTATGTTGGCCAGTGTGGTTCTCAATCAGAGGCAACGTGTATCAGCTGTTGCTTGTTGTCTCTGATTGAGAACCATACTTAAGCAGCCAGTTTTCCCACAGTGTTTGTGGGATCTTGTTCCATGTTGGTTTATGTGTGTTAACCAAGGACTTCACGTTATCGTTTGTTGGTTTGTTCGTGTTAATTAATAAATAAGTATGTTTGCAAATAACGCTGCGCGTTGGTCCTCCTCCTTCGACGATCGTGACATATATGTCCAAATTCATAATCAATATGCTGAAATAAGTTGTGATTTTTGAGGACCAATACATAAAAGTTCCTCCTTACACACACGTGCCACCCTTGTGTTTAGATTACTTGTATTTTGCTAAATTAGTACCTTATAAACTACACACGCAACAATATTTACCAGGCGGTCACTCAAGACTGGAGTTGATTAGCTTGTTCTACTGTAATAAATTGCACGTGCAAATGAATCACTCACATCGATATTGTATTTGTAGTGTCTAAACAGTTTAGACTTTGTTGATGTTTGCAAATGGTGTGTTAGAGGAAGTCTGTTAGGTGGCCTCCTGGGATTGGTTTATGGGAAAACACCCATATTATGTTACATAGGGCATAGGATATAAATACCATGGTTGAAACAAAGGACAGGTAGTAACAACATCAGAGATTGGGCGGTTGTTCTCCAGATGTCTGCAGAAGTCTGTAAATTGGCGCTGAAATCTTCAATGTAATAAAACTTTTATAATCGAGGACAGTGTCAGCGGATTCCTTGTTCTCACAGCATAATTAGCATCATTATTTAGTTACAACATATTGAAATTAATGGAACTGGGACAATAACTGCGGCGACATGTACCGTTTGTGCTCTAACAGACAAACCTCAAAGAACTTGAGTATTCTACATATATCTGTCGATAGATGACAACCTGTCGTAGCCATTCATCAACTTACAATCTTTGTGAGAAAGTGATTTTGGTAGATGGCCAACACGGAAAAGGAAACACAAAACTTATAAGTGGATAATTTCAACGAATCACCACCTCACACCGTTTCTAAATAGCGACAGGGGTTAGCTTTCATTTGAATGATAGTTTAACCCTCAAATCCATGAAATTATGTGAGGCTAGAGACGTTTACGGGAGTAGCGCATAGCTCCTCCCGTAAAGCTGCAAATCCCACTACGGACTGGCACGTATGACAAAAACCTGGTACTAAACGAAATATATTGATATGCTTTAAGAAAACGATTTTGTGAGATTGTGATGACTATAAACTTTAAAACTAACATCACCAAACTGAGATAAAAAGGATGTGTATTTCCTGGAATTCTTGTGTAGTGAAAACGTCTGTGTAATGTAGTAACATGTTATGTCCACCATAGGGAATTTAGAGTAATATAACATAATTAAATATGTCAAAGTAATTCAATATTTTATAATAGTAATGTAGCACACTCACACCTTTTTTCAACAATTTCTTCCTACTTTAATCATGCCTACTTGTAGGGCCTGCTGTTGAGAGTGACAATATCAGTTTGGCTCAATCTGCTTAGTACCATTAGGCATCAATGTGTATTATATCTTTTTTTTGGGTGAATTTGACCCCCTTTTTCTCCCCAATGGCAATCTTGTCTCATCGCTGCAACGCCCCAACGTGCTCGGGAGAGGTGAAGGTTGATTCATGCGTCCTCTGAAACATGACCCGCCTAACCGCGCTTCTTAACACCCGCCCGCTTAACCTGGAAGCCAGCTGCACTGATGTGTCAGAGGAAACACGTTCAACTGATGACCGAAGTCAGCCTGCAGGCACCCGGCCCGCCACAAGGAGTCGCCAGAGCACAATGAGCCAAGTAAAGCCCCCCCCCCGGCCAAACCCTCCCCTAACCTGGATGACGCTGGGCCAATTGTGACACAGCCTGAGATCGAACTCGGGTCTGTAGTGATGCCTCAAACACGGTGATGCAGTGCCTTACACCACTGCGCCACTCGGGAGGCCCAATATGGATGATATCTAAAACAATACAAAACGCTAGTCTGAAAATCAACACATTTTTCTTCAACCTCATGGCTCACCTTAGTCTCCTCCTCTTCCTGTTGCTCTGGAATGCAATCGCTCTCCTCCTCTGGCTCCTCCCCCAAGGTCTCAACCACACCACTAACCATGTCAGCCATTGGCCCGCTCATCTGTCCAACAATCTCCACCTGCGCAGAGCCCCATAGGTCAGCCAGGCGAGGGTGAGTAGGCAGGCCCAGACTGTGGATAGTGCTGTTGGGCGTGGCTTGGAGGGAGTGGTTTGCACTGTGTAGCCTGTGTTCCATTGCCTGTAGATAGGGAACACAGTTCATTAACATTTTTTCATGACAAAAAAAAAAAGATAATCAAGAAACCTACCCATGACCCGATAGCTCATGGCTAGTGGGAGGAATGAGTCATCTGTTGCTCTTGGCAACAAGTATTTCTGTATTTAATTAGTAGGACTAGCCTTGGTAGCATTACATTACCAGTAAGAAGGATACAAATTTGGATAAATGTTTTACTAATAACCAGTGGTGACCCATCATTCAGGGCAGGTGGGGCTTTTTTGTTGTTGTTGTTGCCTGTTTTGTATGTTACTTTGGCATTAATCATTGAGTTAATAAAGCTGCATATAAACATGGTCTCTTTTTTGCTTTCTTGAGTAAGGCAGCTCCAAAATGCAGGTGTTTCAGCCTAGCTCAGTGCTTTCTGTGGTGGTATGGCAGCCAGCGGAAAATACGGAGCATAGGGGTTGGTAATGTTCTCTAGTTGCGCCGTGATTGGCTCAGTGTTCTGTCACTCATGGGGACACTATGTCACCACCAAATCTACAGGGAGAGCTCGAAAATTCAAGCCCCTTGGGTGCTGCCATAGAGTTGCATTAGAAGTGCCCATCCAAGTAAGGCCACAGATAAAATGATGTCAAATCCCGTTATATCTACCGTAGCTTTGATTGGACTGATCATGTCAACATCATACTTTGAAAATCTTAGCTAGCAAGCTAGCAATCATCATCATGAATCGAGTCAACAATCTACTGGCAAATCCTTTTCAATCCTTGTCATATGAAGAGAAATTATGAAGAGAAATTATAGATAAAATGTATCGGTGCTCATCGGCCATTGGACACAAACATTACACAACAAGTTGGAAATCGCAAATTCAACAATGGTTTGGAAGGAATCAGTGGCTAACTGCAAGCATTGCAAAGCATTCACTAGCCTGCTATTCAGTGGAGTGGATGTGTGGTCCAAGTCTGGGTTTAAGGGTCTCTTTTCCAAGCTTAAAATGATAAACATTCAACATTGGCCATGCTGTCAATCCAGCATGACTTCTTCCGCATTCAAAACAACTGGAAACTCAGAACTGGGAAATCTTAGACTTCAGTGAGTTCAAGACAACTGGGAACTCTGAAAAAAACAAGCTACGACTGGGTAAATACGTTTTGAACGGTCATCGAACTTGGAATTCCAAGTCGGGAACTCTGGCCTCTTTCTAGAGCTCCGACCTGAAGATCACTAACGTCATGATTCAACCTTGTTATTTTTTCAGAGTTCCCAGTTGTCTGGAAAACACCACAAATCCAGAAAATGCCAGACTTTGAAAACACTTCCTGTTCAAGTGAGCACAGCATAACAAGGTGCCTCCAAAAATGTATTGTATGCTGCTGCATAAATTATGTAATATGCCAGGGAGATATGCACAGTGTCTTGCAAAAGTATTCACCCCCCTTGGCATTTTTCCTATTTTGTTGCATTACAACCTGTAATTTAAATGGATTTTTATTTGGATTTCATGTAATGGACATACACAAAATAGTCCAAATTGGTGAAGTGAAATGAAAAAAATTACTTGTTTCAAAAAATTCTAAAAAATAAATAACGGAAAAGGGTTATGTATTCATCCCCTTTGCTATGAAGCCCCTAAATAAGATCTGGTGCAACCAGTTACCTTCAGAAGTCACATAATTAGTTAAATAAAGTCCACCTGTGTGCAATCTAAGTGTCACATGATCTGTCACATGATCTCAGTATATATACACCTGTTCTGAAAGGCCCCAGAGTCTGCAACACCACTAAGCAAGGGGCATAACCAAGCAAGCGGCACCATGAAGATCAAGGAGCTCTCCAAACAGGTCAGGGACAAAGTTGTGGAGAAGTACAGATCAGGGTTGGGTTATAAAAAATATCAGAAACTGTGAACATCCCACGGAGCACCATTAAATCCATTATTTAAAAAATGGAAAGAATATGGAACCACAACAAACCTGCCAAGAGAGGGCCGCCCACGAAAACTCACGGACCAGGCAAGGACGGCATTAATCAGAGAGGCAACAATGAGACCAAAGATAAGCCTGAAGGAGCTGCAAAGCTCCACAGCGGAGATTGGAGTATCTGTCGATAGGACCACTTTACGCCGTACACTCCACAGAGCTGGGCTTTACGGAAGAGTGGCCAGAAAAAAGCCATTGCTTAAAGACAAAAATAAGCAAACACGTTTGGTGTTCGCCAAAAGGCATGTGGGAGACTCCCCAAACATATGGAAGAAGGTAATCTGGACAGATGAGACTAAAATTGAGCTTTTTGGCCATCAAGGAAAACGCTATGTCTGGCGCAAACCCAACACCTCTCATCACCCCGAGAACACCATCCCCACAGTGAAGCATGGTGGTGGCAGCATCATGCTGGTGGGATGTTTTTCATCGGCAGGGACTGGGAAACTGGTCAGAATTGAAGGAATGATGGATGGCGCTAAATACAGGGAAATTCTTGAGGGAAACCTGTTTCAGTCTTCCAGAGATTTAAGACTGGGACGGAGGTTCACCTTCCAGCAGGACAATGACCCTAAACATACTGCTAAAGCAACACTTGAGTGGTTTAAGTGGAAACATTTAAATGTATTGGAATGGCCTAGTCAAAGCCCAGACCTCAATCCAATTGAGAATCTGTGGTATGATTTAAAGATTGCTGTACACCAGTGGAACCCATCCAACTTGAAGGAGCTGGAGCAGTTTTGCCTTGAAGAATGGGAAAACCTCCCAGTGGCTAGATGTGCAATGCTTATAGAGACATACAGTGGGGAAAAAAAGTATTTAGTCAGCCACCAATTGTGCAAGTTCTTCCACTTAAAAAGATGAGAGAGGCCTGTAATTTTCATCATAGGTACACGTCAACTATGACAGACAAAATGAGAAAAATTAATCCAGAAAATCCCATTGTAGGATTTTTTATGAATTTATTTGCAAATTATGGTGGAAAATAAGTATTTGGTCAATAACAAAAGTTTCTCAATACTTTGTTATATACCCTTTGTTGGCAATGACACAGGTCAAACGTTTTCTGTAAGTCTTCACAAGGTTTTCACACACTGTTGCTGGTATTTTGGCCCATTCCTCCATGCAGGTCTCCTCTAGAGCAGTGATGTTTTGGGGCTGTCGCTGGGCAACACGGACTTTCAACTCCCTCCAAAGATTTTCTATGGGGTTGAGATCTGGAGACTGGCTAGGCCACTCCAGGACCTTGAAATGCTTCTTACGAAGCCACTCCTTCGTTGCCCGGGCGGTGTGTTTGGGATCATTGTCATGCTGAAAGACCCAGCCACGTTTCATCTTCAATGCCCTTGCTGATGGAAGGAGGTTTTCACTCAAAATCTCACGATACATGGCCCCATTCATTCTTTCCTTTACACGGATCAGTCGTCCTGGTCCCTTTGCAGAAAAACAGCCCCAAAGCATGATGTTTCCACCATATGACATTCTCCCAATCCTCTTCTGGATCAACCAAATGCACTCTAGCAAACTTCAGACGGGCCTGGACATGTACTGGCTTAAGCAGGGGGACACGTCTGGCACTGCAGGATTTGAGTCCCTGGCGGCGTAGTGTGTTACTGATGGTAGGCTTTGTTACTTTGGTCCCAGCTCTCTGCAGGTCATTCACTAGGTCCCCCCGTGTGGTTCTGGGATTTTTGCTCACCGTTCTTGTGATCATTTTGACCCCACGGGGTGAGATCTTGCGTGGCGCCCCAGATCGAGGGAGATCATCAGTGGTCTTGTATGTCTTCCATTTCCTAATAATTGCTCCCACAGTTGATTTCTTCAAACCAAGCTGCTTACCAATTGCAGATTCAGTCTTCCCAGCCTGGTGCAGGTCTACAATTTTGTTTCTGGTGTCCTTTGACAGCTCTTTGGTCTTGGCCATAGTGGAGTTTGTAGTGTGACTGTTTGAGGTTGTGGACAGGTGTCTTTTATACTGATAACAAGTTCAAACAGGTGCCATTAATACAGGTAACGAGTGGAGGACAGAGGAGCCTCTTAAAGAAGAAGTTACAGGTCTGTGAGAGCCAGAAATCTTCCTTGTTTGTAGGTGACCAAATACTTATTTTCCACCATAATTTGCAAATAAATTCATTAAAAATCCTACAATGTGATTTTCTGGATTTTTTTCTCTCAATTTGTCTGTCATAGTTGACGTGTACCTATGATGAAAATTACAGGCCTCTCTCATCTTTTTAAGTGGGAGAACTTGCACAATTGGTGGCTGACTAAATACTTGTTTTTCCCCACTGTACCCCAAGAGACTTGCAGCTGTAATTGCTGCAAAAGGTGGCTCTATAAAGTATTGACTTTGGGGGGGTGAACAGTTAGGCACGCTCAAGTTTTCTGTTTTTTTGTCTTATTTCTTGTTTGTTTCACAATAACAAATATTTTGCATCTTCAAAGTGGTAGGGTATGTTCTATAAATCAAATGATACCATCCCCCAAAAAATCAATTTTAATTCCAGGTTGTAAGGCAACAAAATAGGAAAAATGCCTAGGGGGGTGAATACTTTCGCAAGCCACTGTATACTGTAGCTAAGAAAGTAATACTAAGTTAATGTTTTGTAGTAAGCTGTTAGTAGCCTATGTGCCTCACCCTAATAATTTGATCCCTTTTCCCCTCATAATTTAGCCAACTGTTCTGACTTGGTCGTGCACATGTAGCCTATAGCCTGTTTTAGAGAAACGTCATAATCAAATATTGTAAGAGCTTTCATTGTCTGCTTATATGTCCCCTTTATCCTATGGTTCTGACTTGGTGTACAGGGAGAATATTGTAAGAACGGCCCATATTCTGAATTCTGTCGCTGTACATTTTAAAAGTGCTGAACAAATTATTATATTGACTACGTCCGTCCTAGCTCGCTCATTATTGTCTTAATCTAAATTACGGATTGCCTCTCATCCGCTCGTTGTCCCCTTATGCCATAGTTTGTACGTCTCAAATGTCAGTAGAAACCACATTTGTTTAAGCAAGCAAGTCAGCCATATCAGCTATGTTTTTTTAAAGGCAGTAAATGAGGCTGAATGAACCGTTTCACTGCCAGACATGACTCCGCTGATAGCCATGTGTAGTGGTGGTAAGGTGTTGGGACTGCTGTAGGGACTTATGTAGGCCAGTTTGTGGGCACCGTTATAGTCCAATTCATGTATTGTCTAGTGTTGTGTTGTGTTGTGTAGTGGCTTTTTCTAGAATGCATTTAATTATAAGTGGCGCAGTGGTCTAAGGCACAGCATCTCAGTGCTAGAAGCGTCACTACAGACCCTGGTTCGATTCCAGGCTGTGTGTATCACATCCTGCCGTGATTGTGAGTCCCATAGGGTGGTGCACAACTGGTCTAGCGTCGTCCGGTGTAGGCAATCATTGTAAATAAGAATTTGTTCTTAACTGACTTGCCTAGTTAAATTAAATAAATAATATTTTTTGAGTTTGCCCCACCAAGATTTACATGCTAAAATCGCAACAGCTAATAACACTAGTGTCTCAGCAAACTGCTAGCATACTGCTGTCTTACAATGGTTGTCAGTTAGACAGTTCCATGTTGTTATTGAAACACTAACTCCACCAGGTGACAGTGATCTATGAGGCAGTCCAGTCCAGTCCAGTCTGTCTCACCTGTTGCTGTTGGTAGAGCATTAGCTGCTGGTGCTGGTACAGCTGGATCTGCTGCAACTGCTGGATCTGCAACTGGCTCTGCTGCTGCAGCGTGAGCTGTTGGGGCTGCTGCTGCTGGATGTAGACGCCACCGTTGTCCATCTCACCGTAGCCCTCACCGGGTGTCCCTCCTCCCCCACCTGCCATGATGTAGGTGGCCGGCGAGGCCACGCCCGAGGGATCGTTGCTAATTGGCTCCCAGGCGTCAGAGGAGGAGAGGCAGTAGAGGCCCTGGGCGACGTAGGTGTTGGGCCACACGTCAGCTGAGGAGTGATGCATTGCCTGGTCTGTTGTGTTAGGGAGGGATGAAGGGAGAAGTATATGTTTACATTTTGGATTACATACAAGATATACACTGAGTGTACAAAACGTTAAGACCACCTGCTCTTTCCATGACATAGACTGTGTCATGACTCTCCTGGGTGAGGATCAAAGGCCTCAGATCAGCTTGGCAAATGGCTGACAACAACCAGACCCTCTGACCCACAGAAGAGGGGAAGGGGGGCTGGGCCGGTTTTGACACCTTAATACTCGGTCGTAAATTAGGCAGGAGGGGAATCTCTTTCTTGCTCTCCAGTATTGATTGGAATGTCCCTTTGTCTCCAGAAGACCTTTGCCGCCAAAACTATACCGTCCAAAAAGGAAACACTGGAACAATATTTCTAACATCCGAATGTTTGGAATGGTCAGTGGGGATCTAAAGAATAATCATGTCACATTGTTTATTATTTTGTGATGTCATTAAAGATGGTATAACGAACAAAGATATCTACACGTAAATACATTCATGACTTCTTACCCAAACGGGCGGTGGTTCGTGAGCAAAGTATTATGATTACTTTGAGGGTAGCTTCCAAATGTATCAACGATAAGTTGACTCTCTCTTTGTCTCTCCCCTTCCCTCTCTCTTCCTTACCCCTCCCTCTTTTGATAACCAAGCAGTCATGCTGTTAGTACGCTAGGGACTTTTTCTCGTGTATTAAGTGTATGTATTCTGTGTTATTATTTAGTGAGCTAGTAAATAAATAATTAAGCCTATTTGTGTAGTGCTGAATCATAAGTAAAGCTGGGCTTCTTGCAGATCCAAGAATTCTGCGACCGTTCAGAATGACGACTGATAAGAGGTAATGATTGATACGTTGACTGTTTTATACATATTGATAGGTAAAGACCTTTTAGAGTTTAATTCGGGAGATGGTAACTCTATAAACAACTTATTCCATGGTGACCCAAATCCTAATGAGTTAATTGTTACATGATTAATTTCATCGACTAACAATTAAACATAGTTAGTTGATTCGATAAATAACAGTTATCATATTAATGAAAGTCACGTCACGACAACTGACCAGGTGAATCCAGGTGAAAGCTATGATCCCTTATTGATGTCACTTGTTAAATCCACTTCAATCAGTGTAGATGAAGGGAAGGAGACAGGTTAAAGAAGGATTTTTAAGCCAATTGAGACATGGATTGTGTATGTGTGCCATTCAGAGGGTGAATGGGCAAGACAAAATATTTCAGTGCCTTTGAACAGGGTATTTTAGTTGGTGCCAGGTGCACCGGTTCGAGTATGTCAAGAACTCCAACGCTGCTGGTTTTTCACGCTCAACAGTTTCCTGTGTGTATCAAGAATGGTCCACCACCCAAAGGACATCCAGCCAACTTGACACAACTGTGGGAAGCGTTGGAGTAAACATGGGTCCATGCCCCGACGAATTGAGGCTGTTCTGAGGGCAAAAGGGTGTGCAACTCAATATTAGGAAGGTGTTTTGTTTTGTACACAAGCAAATACTTTTTATGTATCATAGAATTTGTATTCATTTTATTTTACCCTTATTTTACCAGGTAAGTTGACTGAGAACACATTCTCATTTACAGCAACGGCAGTGGATATAGGTAAATGTGACCTTTAGTTTCCATAACAATGGTTTACATTAGTTGGGGTCAAAGGCCCTTAAAGCAGCGGTATCACCAGATATCAGAAGATATTTACAGCAGTATCACCATTTCGACAAGAAATACACTGGCAACTTATTTAAAGCTCAACGTATCTAAAGGATCAAATTAAAGCTCGCTTGACGATGAGCAAACCATGCCTTGGTTATTATAATGCCTATAATAAGCAGATTTTAATTGGTCTCTGGGTTGATAATAGCAGAGAATAGGCCCATATGGTGCTGTTAATGAGAGCCAGGCTAAGTCCTTGTGTTAACCTACAAGCTCCCCCAGGGTTTTCTGCTACAACACAACACTAGCTAACCAAACACCCCAGGACCACAGCTGCCATTTTGAGTTTCTCCGCAACATTTCTTCATAAAGCCCTGATGCACCTCTAGCCGGCCTGTCAAATGGAGTGGAAATGACATCAATCAAACCGGAGTAAACAAGCTCAATCAAAATGGCTGGAAGCCTTCTACAGTAAAATATGGAGGAGCACAGTCCAATACAGAGTTGATGTGGAGCTCACAAGTCAATTATGATCCCTCTTCACAACTAAATAAGAGCTAAATTATGTGGTTTTGCATTTGGTACTAAAATTGTTGTGGAAAAGTATATGCTTAATTTAGTATACATTATTGTTTTTATTCATTCATTAAACCTGGAATCCATAGCAGTGAAATTGCTATGTCCATTTGCGATATTACAACAACAAAGATGTTACTTCAAACAATGAACACAGTTTCTTCCTTTCAGACATCATTGCTCACCATTGCACGCACGATAGAACAGCAGAGTATGTACCACGATTTATTTTTACCACGATGCTGGATGCTCATTTCCTCAACAACAAGAAAAAACAATAACAAATGCACCTGGGGTGGCCAGTGGGGCTGTTGTGCCTATCTCATATCTCAGCTTTAAATGCTATATGCTATTAAATGTTACCTGTACATCCTTCTAAATTTCACAATAAAGCACTATGGCATTGGATGAACAGATTCAGTGAGTGTTGTTCATTGAGATTTAGTTTGCACTTTAAAAACAAAAGGTCTAATAAAATGGCTGCCCTATCTGTAGTGTGTTGCGGCCATGTTTGTAGTCCTGTACCTCTGCTGGTGATGCTCTCCTGGTTGGTCTCACTGAGGTGTGCCACACTGCCATGTTTGGAGCCAGCACAAAGGCTGTCTTCCTCCATAGATCTCCAGCCCAGCAAAGTAGCCTCCGATAAGGCAAATTGTGCCATTAATCCTGGGAGAAACAAGGGGAGAGACTTTGTAAACAATGTAAAATACATGGTTCCAAATCAAATTTATTGACGTGTTGATTTGTTTAATTTTAATTGGTTCTTATGTTCACTCTTACCTGCAGTGAAGCGGGCCTCCTTTTCTCCTTCACTGAGTTCACTGTACATTTCGCTCTCCATCCGCCTCTCCTTCTCGCGTTGCGAGGTTGGGATTTTGGCGACCACATTCCCTTCAGTCCCATTGGATGGTGTGTTCCAGCTCTGCCATTCGATCATGTGAGCCACTTTGCCTGAGGCCATGGCAGTGGGCTTAGTTACTTTATCCTTCATGGAACGGGACACGCCTAAATAAAGAATAAGTATAAGGACACTGTTTCACAACACATTCAATTTGTGAATATGGAACCTCCCACAACGGATTTGGGCTCAGGAAGTGAAATGGGCTGGGAACTGTGGAAAATCCTTAATGGGTTGTGTGTTCTTTCTGGGAGGCAATGGTGCTGTAGCCGAATATGAATTCGGTACAAAATGGCTTCTTCCTCTCTCATGCATGTCTCTCAGCAGCTCTGGGTGGTTGGAGATTGAAGTGAGTGTAGATGGGGCTTGCTGCATTATTAGAAGCTGTCTATTTATTTGTCAAGGCTTGTTGACTTCATCAATCTCTCAGTCGTCTGTGGTGAGCAACAAGGGTGAAATACAGAACTCATTGAGCTCATCAAATTAATCAAGAAGATGAGATTCATTAGACTGTAAGCATTTGTTTGTAATTCAAATGTGAAAAAAAAGTTATCTTTGCTGTAAACATAATTCTGAAAAGGCCTTAATCAAAATGCAAATATCTGACGATAAGGAAGGATGTATTCAATCAGTGTTGGGCTAGCAATAAAAATCGAATTAAATCAATTGAGTGTGAACTGAATCCATTTGGCAACAGCAGATACGCTGGGTTGAAGCCTTGTTGATATATTTAAAGTGGAGTTAAAAAATATTGTAGTTCTCATAAAAATGCAAATATAATTCATAAAATAATAGTAATTGTAGATTTGTATTCAGTGTTATGCAAAGTTATTTTGAGAGTAAGGAAAGTGGATTTGGGGTCTTTATTAAACACAAACACGTTATCAATAAAATATACTTCGACTGCACCAGACACGACCACAATACAGTTTTATGGCTCTGAGCACAGACAAGCACAGAGCCATAAAACTGCCTTGCCACCACAATAAACACACACCACCACCACAAATACCACACTACAAAACACTACATTTCCCAACACGCCTGTGGAGCTGCATTGTGGTTTCTGCACTTACTTTAAAACTTGTATTTTCACAAATCTGATTGGATTCCATCAATTGCCTATAAGCAGCCATTGATGTGTGCATTAGGTATCAATGGGGATGCAGGGAGTGAAACAGAAAGGGCACCCACAGGGGTGACCATGTTGGCTCCATCTCCTCTTCCTGTCTGGAGCCAACATGGGGCTGGTTTACCATCTATCAGGACAGACACACACCTGACACACCTGTCAGTGAGGACTTAGCCAGAGCACCGATCCCGTAAGCGTTGGAGTTCCTCTTCAGATGAGGCAGGATGGAGGAAGTGTCCTCCATAGAGAGCTGTAGAAAGGGACGAGCGGAGGAAATAAATAAATAAATAATTGTGGAGGGGAAAAGGGAGACGAATGGCCAATTGTTGTGAAGGGGTAAAACAATATGGTTGGTTGAGGATTAGATATGCGATAAAATAAAATAAATAAAATAGGGGAAAATCCTACTTAACAAATGATCAAATACAACTACCAATATATTAAGCAAAAATACATTACATTATCCAACACATCACAAATGATATCAGTACTTTGGTCAAACCAGTGATAGTCAACACAGTAGTGTAGTAGTTCACTGTGCAGTCAGTGTACTGTACCTGTAGGACCTGTGATTCATATGATTGATACATAAAGGAGCATCATGCTAGCAGCTAGCATTAGCTACTGTAGATAAGGTAAGGTTATTACAGCTTGTTATCTGCCAGCCTGAGATACTATGTAACACAGGCAGTACAGTAGATTAGCAGCAGCGCTAAGATAGAGAGAGGGAGGGAGGGAGATGGGATGGGGAGAGACTGAAGGACAAAAACGTTGGCTTATCTACAGACAGAGAGAGCCAAACCACGCGGTGGGACGGAGGAAGAAGAGGAAGAGATTAGCACAGGACTTACATTGATTCCTTCCCAGGAAAACTCAGCACGCCCGTGCTAAGAGAGAGAGGAAGGGAGAGGAAGAAAGCCAGGAGAGATATAGGTATGTTTGTAGAGGAGCCGGGAAAGGGAATGCAACAGAGAGGGGATAGCATTAAAAGAAGAACACATACAACAACAACAACAACAACAACAACAACAACAAAACTGACAAATAAGGTGTGTAAAAGATACACAGGACGAAATCAGTCGTAGTAAAGAAGTAAAGATTTGGGTGGAGGGAGGAAGAGAAAGCGTCTGAGTAAAGAAGGTGGAATGCAAAAAGTGCAAGAGAGATTTGGACGAGGCGGGCGGGGAGGATTGAAATACCGATCAATTGAGGATAGAATAGAGATGAGAATTCACTGTCTGTGAGGGAATAGATTCTCTCATATCAGCTTGACCATACGCTTTGGAAACCAAAAGAGACAAAATACAGTTTTATTGCCAGTGATGTCAGTGTTAGTGTTTGTAGTGCTTCCCTAACAATAATAGGATACAACTCATTATTCATAATTGAATAATATCTTATAGTATTATAACACATCCTTATAAATAGGACAATACATTACATAAATGGTGCCCCTTGTGAGGAAAATTCCCTACATAAAATGGTGCCCCGTGTGAGGTCATTCTCCTACAATACTCTGAGTCGATATTCACTTCATAAGAACAAATTCCCCTTGACCACACCCACAAATTGGGGAAAACAAACATTATTTTCCATTGACCCCCATTGTACAAGAGCCAACTTATACAGAAATAACAAAACATGCAGAAAAGCTAGCGTGTTGTTCAATGTACATGTAACCCGGTCAAAAATCCTGACCAACATGCTCCAATAGGGAAATAGAGCCTGCGAGAAGAGCCCTGTGGCTTCAGGCTATTTGGAGTGGGAGAGTGGGACATTTTGGTGACCTGGTGTCCAAGTAGGCTACACGTAGCTATGTGTGTCGAAAACATTTCATTAGACATGTTGTACTTTTCTTAAATGTAGTTTTGTAATTGGCTAAAACAAGCAGACAACAAGAAAACTGTGTTAGAAAAGGTCAAGTTTTTGCTGTGAGCCAATGGGGTAACCAAGGTAACCAAGGGTTGTTTTCCCACAAGGTGGGCGGGGCTGCGATGTTCTATCTAATACCGACTGGGAGTATACACTAGTCATAAAATTGTAGAATCTGACCCATCATCAGGCCTATCATACTCCAGTGTTGTGATAACAAGGAAAGGCTTGAGGTCAACTCTGACCTATTTGCCAGGGGCAACTGCAACTTCTGTGGGCAGTTAAGTGGCCCAACTGGAGAATGCCCATTGGCCATTGCATTTTGTCAGAAAGAACGAGGCTGGCCTTGGAAGATGTTGAGTACTGCAGCTTCTGTCTGCATCACACACAGCTGTCAAGGATGTGATGTCCAAGCATTGCATCAAGGGGTAGATGTCTTGTTGGATATAATGAGTATTGCTCAGTTCAACCTAGTTGAACAGACTAGATTTGAAGTTTACAGAAACATTTACAGGGGCCTGGTGTAACTTGTTGTTAGGAATACACACTACGTTCAAAATGTCCTTGTTTTCTAAAGAAAAGCTATTTTTTTGTCCATTAAAATAACATCAAATTGATCAGATACACAGTGTAGAGATTGTTAATGTTGTAAATGACTATTGTAGCTGGAAACGGCTGGTTTTTTATGGAATATCTACATAGGCGTACAGAGGCCCATTATCAGCAACCATCAGTCCTGTGTTCCAATGGCACATTGTGTTATCATTTTAAAAGGCTAATTGATCATTAGAAAACCCTTTTGCAATTATGTTAGCACAGCTGAAAACTGTTGTGCTGATTAAAGAAGCAATAAAACTGTCCTTCTTGAGACTTGTTGAGTGTCTGGAGCATCAGCAATTGTGGGTTCGATTACAGGATCAAAATGGCCAGAAACAAATAACTTTCTTCTGAAACTCATCAGTCTATTCTTGTTCTGAGAATCAACGTCAACAGTGAAGAGGCGACTCCGGGATGCTGACCTTCTAGGCAGAGTTTCAAAGAAAAAGCCATATCTCAGACTGGCCAATAAAAAGAAAAGATTAAGATGGGCAAAAGACACTGGACTTTTTCTTTGCAACTCTTCCTTAGGTCAGCATCCCAGAGTCGCCTCTTCACTGTTGACGTTGAGACTGGTGTTTTGCGGGTACTATTTAATGAAGCTGCCAGTTTAGGACCTGTGAGGCGTCTGTTTCTCAAACTAGACACTCTAATGTATTTGTCCTCTTGCTCAGTTGTGCACCAGGGCCTCCCACTCAGTTTCTTGGCAATTTCTCGCATGGAATAGCCTTCATTTCTCAGAACCAGAATAGACTGATGAGTTTCTGGCCATTTTGATCCTGTAATCGAACCCACAATTGCTGATGCTCCAGATACTCAACTTGTAAAGGCCAGTTTTATTGCTTCTTCAATCAGCACAACAGTTTTCAGCTGTGCTAACATAATTGAAAAAGGGTTTTCTAATGATCAATTAGCCTTTTAAAATGATAAACTTGGATTAGCAAACACAACGTGCCATTGGAACACAGGACTGATGGTTGCTGATAATGGGCCTCTGTACGCCTATGTAGAAATTCCATTAAAAATCAGCCGTTCCCAGCTACAATAGCCATTTACAACATTAACAATGTCTACACTGTATTTCTGATCAATTTGATGTTATTTTAAAATTAAATTGCTTTTTTCTTTCGAAAACAAGGACATTTCTAAGTGACCCCAAACTTTTGAACGGTAGTGTATATTATGGAGACTGGTCTTGAGGAAGGCCTGAAATGTCGACGTCAAACAGCCTCCACTATATTGCCGTTTCTTGTTTGTCTCTATAGGAATATGTATTGCAACGGCAAGTGAATCTTGAATAGTAATACTTTCTTACAAATCACCTCATGAGTTGTCAGAGTGATTAAGCAAGCCCCATGAAGTCCAAGCTAGCAGCCCAGAGGATTTCTGCTTTAGTTGGGATGGATAAAAAGAATCCCACAAAATGTTGAATTATTCACCGAAAAAAGTGACTGTGGTCCGTGCTTCCTCTTTATTTATGAGGGCTTGCGGTGTGGGGGCATCACTAGAAATGATTTATCATGGTTAAAATGTGCATTAACAGGAAGGGAGAGGAAGAGCAGCAGTGTCCTTGGAACTTCTTCTTCCTAGCAACAGGCCTAGTGATTTCTGGGAACACTTTTGTCTCAATCGGCCAATCAGACATCAGTGGTCTTGTTGTTGCCATCAAGCTCTGGCCAGTCCAGAGGAGTGCGTACTGTCTCTCTAATCTTGTGTGTTACGAGGCTGCTGGCTGCATCTACCTCAGCTCAGCTGCCACTGCTGTGTTGACAGATTTCATAAAAATAGGTGGCCCCTGGCCAATCCATATCCATCCATCATATCCAGAAATGTATGGTGTAAAAAAAAGTTGCTTGTCAGACATCTAACAGAGATGTGGATGGGGGTCCCATAAAATTCAAATTTTCAAAGAGCATATTAAGTGTAGTAGAATATGCTTAAACATCTGTGGTGGTCTTGTTGGTTGTCATTGTGTAGGGTCTTTGTGCTGTTTGAAAATACCCCATTGTGTATTGCAATTCAGCCTTGTAGCCTCTTTAAAGAGAGAAAAACAAAACAGCAACAGTGGTAAAGGAGTAAGATGGATCATATGCTATGTCCCTGGAGTGGGAGATTACATATAGTACAGTAATGGTTTGGGCTCTCGAGACCTGCTCCAGTGGCCTTTGTGAGAAATTCAATACAGACCATCTCTGAGCAACATTGTATCATGGCACTCTCAGTATAGGAAGCAGTGTGAGCGAGTCAAGCTCAGTTTCACTACTAGATATGAGAAACCTTTTCCTCAATGGCCATCTTGGCTCAAGGATCCATTGGACATAAATAAGAAATTTACTCGAGGGTAGAGCTGGAATGGTATAAAATCCAGACAAATTATATTTCACTTCAGGGGGATAAAATGTACATTGAAATGTCATCCATACCTGTTCCTCATCTTTCCGTACAGGAACAGCATCCGCTGCTAGACAGATAGAAAAACAGATAGAAAAACATGAAGCCAACCTCATGCAACCTTTATTGAGTAGAGCTGACAGCACTCTCGAACATTTATGCTGACATTCACACAAAGCACTAACATTGTACTATTGTTTGCGCCAAATGTTAGCACATTAGAAAAAACTAGTATGTGTCATTATGGGCCAAGATCTTTAGATTCCTCTACTGATTATGTTCAAAAAGGCATTGAATGACAGCTTTGTATGGCCTATTTCAACTGCATGATCATTAGGATGCATTGATAGTAGGCCTACTAAATCATGCATTGAAATACATAATAAATGCTAATATGTTATGTTTTCATTATTATTAAACTATTAGTAAGGCATATTGTTTATTATACCCAAAATACAGAAAATATAGTAAAGTAATATTATATTGGCACATACTGTAAATTGACACTGCATTGTGTGCCCTCTTCTCCACACAGAAATAAGGTGAAAAAAGTCATTATTTTAATTCTAAATCCTTAAAACACTTGCCTGTAATGTTTTATATCCTAACATATCACTTTAATATTTTACCAGTTAAAGTGTCCTTTAAAAGGGCAACAAACATAAAGGAACAGTATCCATCATAAAAGGGGAGTTCTGAATTGAAACACATCTTCATGACTATCTAAGAGCCCCATCTAAATGTGAACACTTTTAACACTTGAAAGTGTCCTTTAAACAAGCAAATAAAACGGAAAGAAATAGATCCAACATAAAATAAAGTCTAATTGAGTTCTACAATCTGAATTGAAACACTTCTCTCTTTAACTACAGCTGAGTTGACACCCAGGGGAACCTGGAGGCCATTTTCCTCCATCAGACACTCACACACCAGAGACCTCTACAGCTGATGGAACTCCAAGATAACCGAGGAAAATGAGGGTGGGGAACAGGTAGTAGCGCTCGAAGAAAAAAAGAAAGAGGACATGGGAGAGAAAAAAATTACGAGGGTATACCGAGATGGGGCAGAGAAGAAAACAAACAAAAAAAGGGACAAAACTACGAGGAGGAGGGTGGGGCGTTCCAGTAGATCAATATTTTAATGGTATCAATTCAGTTTTATGGTAGGTTATCAGGCCTGCATCTTAACCAATGGAATGAGAAGGTGGTGAATGTTTTATTGTTGGTGTTAAAAGAATCTTCACATAGATTATTTTAACACCGAATTGTGAATTGTGTCCACAGTTGATTAGACTTATTTTTTTTAAATGCCACACCTCATGTGTAAGGTCCATCCACCTGTAAAACATGCAAATAGAAAACAGGCCCAAACACACTCATCTTAACCCCACACTTGTCTCCCTGGACTGTCAAGAGGTCTTCAATCTTCATAGGCATCACTGTCATCTAACAGCTTGGAGTAAACTAGACAGACATACCTCTTGACCTTATGGAGAACTAAGCCTCCACTTTGCTGTAGAAATTGTCTCGTTGTAGAGAATTTTCTTTCCCCGCATTCATTGATGAACAAAAACATCGGAGTCAGATATTGAACCTTTTAAGAGGAGAGGTAAGGCCTCAACCATCACAGGAGTCTTATGATACAATTGTACAATTACAAAGGTGGGGGAAAAGCCTTGTTCCGACCAATTGTGTGGGCTGGGGAAGGGTAGGTCTATGTTCACACAGTGGGCGAAATAGCAGGGGCTCGCCACTCGCGCTGCACCGAGCGAGTTCCTTAAGGGGCTTTAGCCTACTGTGACCAACCGAGCGGAAGTCAGAAGTCGCGAGGGCCGTCAAAGCAATAAGCGGGGGAAGGGAGCATCGTCGGACACTGCCGCGATCGCTCCTGACAGATCTCGTGGTTTGAAATGTTAGGGACCATCATCATCTGTCTTTTACGATCGCTTGGGGCCGAGTGGGGCGTCTTGGTGGTGACACACGGTGGGTGACGTGCGCCCTGACACTGATTCAGGGTGAAGGCCAAAGTCTGACTCACCTCAGCTCCAGTACCGGTGCCGAAGGCCGTTCTAGTGGGACAAGGTACTGAAAAAAATATTATTCTGAGCACATTTGCAGCTATTATCACGGTAAGGTATGGCCACGGTAAGACCAGGGCTTGAAACCAAAGTGACAACCTAGGGGAATTGATTTCGTAGCTTATATGAGGGGACTGTATTTGTGCACAGAACCGCTACATTGTTTTGATTAAAAAAAACTGTTGAGATACCACAAATACTGTCAACCTAATTTACAAAAGCATGGGATCCTAAATGCATACCCACTGGGCACAGGCGTCAATTCAACGTCTATTCCACGTTGGTTCAATGTATTTTCATTGAAATTACGTGAAAACAATGTTGATTCAACCAGTGTGTTCCTAGTGGGTAACTACTGGTTAAACAAAGAGTTCGATAACTATTCTAAACTATTAATGGTAGAAAAATCACTGGATATAAAGCTACCGTGAGCTCCCGAGTGGCGCAGCGGTCTAAGCCACTGCATCTCAGTGCTTGGGGCGTCACTACAGACCCCCTGGTTCGATTCCAGGCTGTATCACAACCAGCCGTGATTAGGAGTCCCATAGGGCGGCGCACAGCGTCGTCCGGGTTTGGCTGGTGTAGGCCGTCATTGTAAGTAAGAATTTGTTTTTAACTGACTTGCCTAGTTAAATAAAGGTAAAATAAAATAAAAAATAAATAAATACCAAAACAGCATGCTACTAATTAAAATGATATGTCTCAGAGATTAAGTTAACACTTAGCCACCCTAAGCCATTGATGCCCAGCTATAGCACAACCCATGCTTCTCTGTCTTCTTTTCTCCATTCCTCCTTTAGTCTTCTCACTCTTCCAAATTCCTTCCTCCCATTCTCTTCTCTCTCTGAGCCCCTCTCTCTCCCCTCTTTACCTATGCTCACTAGCAGTATTCCACACTAAAGGTCAGTAGCAGCTCAACCATGACCACCTGTCAAGCAAACTCCATCGACTAGTCACCTTGGCCCCATGTCCGTCACCTTGCGAGTCGTCAGTCAACTGACGTCATCAGCCGTGCGGTGTGTGAGACGCAGCGAGTGTGCTCCGCTCAGTACCGAGCATCCGTCAGTCAGTCTGTCAGCACTATTAATGAAATCAATATTGGGGGGCATTCCTGTGTAATGCAATATCTCAAAGACACTCAATAGAACAGAACAACAAACAAGATGAGCGGTGCTAAATAGTGCACAACAAGCTACAGCAGGACTCTGGCAGGTCAAGGCTTCAGCACACTGTTGAGTAGTGCGTTTTTTTTTTTTTTTATTGTTTTTTTTATTCATTTATTTAATATTTAATATTTTTTTAGTATACATATTTTCTTTCTTTTTTTTTAGGGGGGGGGGGGGGGGGGGGGATGGATCAGCTTAATATTGCAGATAGATTGTATCTTCTATCAATGTAATTGTCTGCCATCACTTCCAATCCCCCATGTTTTTTAAATTTTTTTATATATATATTCCCCTTTATTACTTTTCAACCCCACCATCCTTTCCCTACTTGGAGTAAATTAGTGAACAACAACGCCCAGGCCTCTACTTCCGGTCTATACTTACTATCTACACCTTATGGACAGAGTTAATTTTACAATAATTCTATATATATATATATATATATATATATATATATATATAGATATATTTATTTATATATATATATATATATATATATTATTTTTATTTTTTTTTTATATTTTTTTTTTTTGCTCCTGAACTTCTTCTACTCTCAACCTCTCCGATTATTTTCATGATGTCCATCCGGTTTGCTTCTAAATGCAATATCTTTCTAACTGTGCTCTTTGAGTAGGGCGGCAGGTAGCTTAGTGGTTAAGAGCGTTGTGCCAGTAACCGAAAGGTCGCTGGTTCTAATCCCCGAGCCGACTAGGTGAAAAATCTGTCGATGTGCCCTTGAGCAAGGCACTTAACCCTAATTGCTCCTGTAAGTTGCTCTGGATAAGAGCGTCTGCTAAATGACAAAAATGTAAATGTAAATGAGTAGTGTGTTTGTTTATGGGAAATTGAAGGAGGCCTATGTAAGAAAGTGGCAGTTTCACCAATCACATGAACACACACTTTCAGTACAGATTTGAAACATAAATACTTTCAGTATACAGAAACATAAATACTTTCAGTATACAGAAACAGAAACATAAATACTTTCAGTTTACAGAAACATAAATACTTTCAGTATACAAAAACATAAATACTTTCAGTATACAGAAACATAAACACCTTCAGTATACAGAAACATAAATACTTTCAGTATACAAAAACATAAATACTTTCAGTATACAGAAACATAAACACTTTCAGTATACAAAAACATAAATACTTTCAGTATACAGAAAAATAAACATAAACAGACCCTTTCAGAGCAGTGCTTTGCTTCTCTCCTGATATATTCACGCTCATGTCATGACATGATCATTTCCATGTTCCAGTTGGTCTATTTACTAGTAGTTCAGTTTCACACTGTATAATTTACATTATAGTAATATAAATACACAAAACCTCTTTATTGGAGTTAATTGAACTTAATGGTACTATGAGTAGGCTTAGCTAATTCAGCTATTTCCCATTTTAGCATTACATTAGGCCTACTTTCATTATTTATTTTTAGAAATCCTTCTTGGAAACATACAGACCTGATATGGTACTTCAAAATATACAGTAACTCAGTTTAATACATAGTGTATGTTGTATATTGAACTATGCAGTGCATCATAGAGTTTCAACTAATTCATCAATATTTCCAATACATGATTTCACCCTTAAATCCAGGTCTCAACTCATTATTTTATTTACTGTAATGAACCATTACGGTGTTAAAAGGGTTACAACAAACAACAAAAATAAAAATTGCCTACATCCATTGGCTTTCAGTAATTGGACTGTTTTTGAAGAGTGAGGAGAAAACATGACATCAACGTCCAATATTTCCATTGCCACTGAGGCTTGCTAAATGTCTCACCACCCATGAAAGACAAATTAAGTAAATCACAGATATGTGACGGTTGAAGGGATATTTGGAAAAGGTCACAGGAAACATGTCATGGTTACACACAGAAAAACACTACATGGAATGAATGGTATTCCTCAATTTCTCAGCTGTATTTCTTATTACTTTCACTTCCACTGACCAATTCCTTTTAAGTTTAGGTGAAATTTAGAATCTCTCAAAAGCCATGGATACATTTATTTAATTAACAGCATTTTCGTTCATAGTTTATCTATTGTACAATTGAACGATAATCGAATAACATCAGCATAATCTGCCTCATAAGGCCTGTTACGAAGCATTATGATAAGTATGATAAGTGATATGCACATTTTCCTTGAATACAACCACAGAACAAACCAAGACAATATTGAATAAACACGGTTGTAGAGCTCTGTTTCGCCTGCCATAAAATAAAGGAGTCTTGGAATAAATACAGTCGGGTAACCATTCATCATAAACACCATCCATTGTGAACATAATGGAATACAATAACTAGGTCAGGCACTCTACACAATTCACCGGAAGAATACATCTGGCAAAACAGTAGAATACAGTAGAATCAGATCATGCTGTCTTGTTGGCATTGTGTGGTTACTCTGGGAAACATGGTTCCTCTGAATGTTTCCCAGAGGAGCTAAACACTGTGTAGGGATGTGCTGTTGACCCATATTTACTTTAAGCGTCTCCTCTCCACTCGCATCCATCAACCTCACTCCATATCAGATGCTATATATAGCAATATATGCTTATTATAACAATGCGCGCTCAGCAATGGGCTGTTGTTGTTTCTCACAAGAAATCAACCTCAGTTCACACATGATTTAAAATGGCCCATTGAATGTGATAAGATGCACTAACATGCCCATGTCTTGTTATTAGACAAAGCTGGTTGGCAGTTAGTATTATTAGTATCACTATAATAGTATTAAAGTATTATTCTATAATACACATTTTACAGCATTTTGCTGGAACCCATGTGTTTATTCTGCAGAGTCAAACCATGACAGAGAGAGAGAGAGAGAGAGAGAGAGAGAGAGAGAGAGAGAGAGAGAGAGAGAGAGACAGAGAGAGAAGAGAGAGAGAGAGAGAGAGAGAGAGAGAGGAGAGAGAGAGAGAGAGAGAGAGAGGAGAGACATTGTGAAACTACTTCTTCATCAATCTTGAGTGATTTTGTCTTTGTTTGTAGTGACTTTACATTGACTTTTGTATTAAAACATATTGTAGAGTGTAGAGACCCAGTTAGAGGGAAAACTCTAGTGTTTTTTACTGCTCCAAATGCTACATCCACACTAACACCTTCCCTAGCTTGTTTTCAGACACTCACACATTTCACACACTAATTTGTCTCTAAAACGCCAGGCTGGCTTTCATTACCACGCTCAAAACACATGCTACACATCTACAAGCTCAATGACAATCAAAGGTCAAATTTTCTGCCATCCATTTATTTATTTAATTCATCTCTGACCGGGAGCCTCCACATTTGTTTTCATAAAGGTACTGACAAGGCTTGATGAAGTGTTTAATAAAAGAGGGCAATCACTCTCCATTATGTATGCTCCAAACAAACGACACACCACGCTTCAATTAATCTCCGTTACACTATCTACAGTATAACACACCACATAATATCCAATCCCATGGGAGCCGGATCGATTTCAATGAAATCATCCACTGCCTATGTCACAGCCGTGTGGACCGTACGAGTTCCACAGACCAGTCTACAGTACGCTCCATGATACCATTAGCACTGAGGCTCCTTTGAGCCATACACCTCAATGTAGTTACGCCGGCTGTATTAACCACTGGCAGCGTTGACTTTGCTCAATTGACCTACATGTGCAGCGCATCCAGGCTCACACCTGGGTTAGTCGCGATCGGTTATGACTCATCCAATGCGGGTCATAGTCCAGCCGAGTTTGTGTGTGTGTCTCCATTTTATACCTTCTAACCTGAAATGCACTGCTGCACGCATGCTTCAATTGATTACCCGCCGGCATGACGCACTCCAACGGAGGAGAGGGGAGCATTTACGATTTTCTCAGACACAGCAAGCGGTTACCTTAGCTCTAAGTCAAGGCAGGAGGGCGGTTAAACAAGAGGGAGTGCACACACACACACACACACACACTCACACAGTCAAACTAACAGTCCATTTCCTCATGACCATCCCTTCATCCATCCATCTCTCCCTTCATCCATCCATCTCTCCCTTCATCCATCCATCTCTCCCTTCATCCATCCATCTCTCCCTCCCTCCGATCCCTTCATCCATAAAGAAATTCTGAGATCTGCTCTCTTTCTCTCTGCTTCGCTCTTTGGCTTTTTTCTCTCCATCATTATTTATATGTGCAACAGTATACCATGCAGAGACACTGCTAACAGGATTTCACATCATTCCTTTCTTTGTTTCTCCCCCCCCCCCCTCTCTCTCTCTCCCCTCTCTGACTTTCTCTCCTTTCATCTGTCTCCCCTGAGATCATTGTAAACAACCTCTACGTCATATTTCAGTCTCTCTATCTCCTCAGAACCCTCTGTATCTCTCTCTCTCTCTCTCACACACACACACACACATGCACCTATCGCCATGCGCACATGGTCGTACAGCCCATCAGGCATATGCATTTGAAATGTCAACCGAGTCAGCCCGTATTCCAGTCCACTACAAATCGCCTCACGTCCTGCCTTCACTTCCTCTGTCACTTCCTCTGTTCTCCCTATTCCCAGCATTCACCATGCAAAATAAAAACATCTCCTGTCTGTCTAGCCTCAGTCGTACGCTGCCGAGCCCCATTAACCAACACGTCTCCATAGAAACGTACTTACGGCTTCAGATGAGAAATTCAGAGTCCCCCCCAAAGTCCCCCTCCCCCACTCCCACCCTCCTCCATCTCTCTCGTCACTGGGGAAAAAGCAGAAGGGGAAAAAGATGGGGTCTGCTTACTGATGGTCCGGGAGCCGATGCAGCCCATGGTATCTCTCTCACAGAGGCCCTGGAAGCAGCAAGCGAGGAAGCGCCACCCTTTCACCAGGCATTCTCTCCACTCCTCTTCTCTCCTCGCGTCTCGTTCGGTATGTGTGTGTGTGTGCGTGTGTGCACGTCTCTCTCTCTCTCTCTCTCTCTCTCTCTCTCTCTCACTCTCTCTCTCTCTCTCTCTCTCTGCTCTGCCTTTCTCTCGTGCAATCCCTCTCTCCCTCTCCTTACCTTCGTCAAACACACTGGCACACACACAGAGACACAGCTAGAGTGCAGTGTTGCGATACTGGAGCATCCCAGTTAGTCAGTCAGTAAGTCAACGTGTCTGAGAGCAAGGGAGGATGGAAGGAAAGACCTGACATCATTGAAATAATGACAAGCAAGTATTAGCTACTTCATTGTCATTAATATCCCAACTCTGCAAATTATTCAAGTATAACTAATTTAGCAGAAATATTGACCTATTCTATGAACTGGAAATATGCTCTGCATCTTCTGATGGTGTGATAAATGTGTCTAGTATGTCTCTAATCCCCTACCTCTCCCTCTTTCTCTCTCTCTGACAATGCAGTACAGCTCTTTTCCTCTCCTTCTGCCCCTCCTTCCTTCTGTCTCTCTTCATCTTACTCACACAATATACATATAAACACAGACAGTGATTCAATTGTGAGGAGGCGAGGCAGGAGGACAATGGAAGGGTGCTTAAGCTCTCTGACTCTCTCCTACTCCCTCAGTGACTGCTTTTATGCTCAGAGTCAAATCTCACACATTGAATACTGGCTTTTCCCCTATGGAGCTCAATGCTTTGACAGTATTGGCTGTAGAATTCGGTTGTGTTGAATGTCATAAAACATGTGTTTAAAATAGGCAAATATCTGTTGGTTAATATGGAATAGACTAGAATAACTAGAATATTAACGTATGGGTAAGTATTGGCTGAATAAGGGGAGAAAGAGTGAAATTATTTATTTAACATATTCATCTTACACAGATGAGAGAGAGATGAGATGAGAGAGAGAGAGACAGATGGAGAGAAAGAGAGGGGGAGCTGAGGAGGAAGGAGTGAAGGGGGGAACGCTTTGAGTCATGTTAAGGAGGGGTGAGGCTGAGATGCACAAATTAGTATTCTAGGAGGGAGGGGGAGGGAGGAGGAGGGAGGGAGGAGGAGGGGTGACAGAGGAGGAAGGGGGAAAGGGAGACAGAGGCAGGGAGGGATGCTCGTGGGTCTGCATACAGAAAAAAACATACAGCCATGTTTCTATGTATGGCTCTGTGTGTATGTGTGTGTGTGTGTGTGTGCGTTTGTGTGGCTGGCTGGCTGGCTGGCTCGCTGGTTGCTAGCTGGCTGGCTATGGGTCATTCCATGTATTTGGTTTGTACTTGTGTGTCCGTGTGTGTCCATATGTGTCTGCATATTTGTCCATGCACATCATGTCTGCATATTTATCTATGCACATGCATGCATCACATGTGTGTGTACTCATTACTTCATCACTGAAGCAGGTTAAGGGTCATAGAGAGGTGATCACAAAGAGACATGCCAAGAGAAGGGGCTGATGGATAATCCTATTCTTGGCAATGAGTTGGTCTATCACATGCTGAGTCTCATGGAAGGACACTACTTAGATATTCACTTTGACCTCACTGGTGCCTGAACTATAGTTGAGAGCGAGAGAGAGTTCTAGCTAGGTGGCTAACGTTAGCTAGGCTAGGGGTTAAGGTTAGGGTTAAGGTTACGGTTAGGGGAAGGGTTAGCTAAAAGGGTTAGGGTTAGGGGAAGGGTTAGCTAACATGCTAAGTAGATGCTAAAAAGTAGCTAAAAATTAGTAAATTGTTGAAAAGTTGATAATTAGCTAAAATGCTAAAGTTGTCTGTGATGAGATTCAAACTCGCAACCACCAACCACCCTAATTTATTTTTTGCCTTAAGTAACCATTTGTCTTATGTGGTCCTCTGTAGCTCAGCTGGTAGAGCATGGCGCTTGTAACGCCAAGGTAGTGGGTTCGATCCCCGGGACCACCCATACACAAAAAAAAATGTATGCACGCATGACTGTAAGTCGCTTTGGATAAAAGCGTCTGCTAAATGGCATATTATTATTATTATTATTAACCGTACCAAACATAACATGTCATACTCATTTGAGTGTCCCGGATTTACGTCTAGTCTGAGACCAAGCTGCCCACACACATACTGATATAAAGCCCACAAAAGGCTTATCAGGTTCTAAAGCTTACAGCAAAAACAAATAATGAACAGTCCCACACTCGCGACTTCAGCTTTAATCAATAGGCTCACTTCACCTCCACACAGCCGAAGGTAAAGCATCTGATCTCTGCTGCTCTCTCCCAGGGAAGAGAACTCAGAGACTCTGAGGCTGCGTCCCAAATGGCAATCCAATTCCCTATGGGCCCTGGTCAAAAGTAAAGCTTTAGGAACACTTTCTTAATCCTCCCACTACGCATCATCATTAAAAAACACATTATGTCTCTCCAATGTATTGTAGATTGGAGCTTTGTTATAAGGGCGTCTCTTCCTCGATGACAGAAATGAATGTGATTGGTTAAATTCAGTGCAAATAATGTGATTGGTTAAGTTTAGGCAAGGAATTACAATTGGTTGAGTTTAGGGTTAGTGGTGGTTTAAATTTGCGTAAGTTTGTCATGCATGGCCTTCCAAGCCTCTCTGAGGTCCAAAACTAACTTAATTAATCTGGCGTTGGTAGATGGTGGTAGCGAAATTATGATTGTTCCATTTCCCTCAATGACCATATGTTTGCGGTTTCAGAATTATTTACATTATTCTTATTTCTCTCACACACAGTCATGTTCTTCCCAGACCTGGGTTCAAATACTATTCGAAATCGCCAAATCAATTTTTCTTACCCTTGTTTCACCATCTGGTTGTTCGAGCTGCCCTGATGCATCAACAAAAATAAATACATTTTTCACATAGCATCAGCCCATCAGAAATCAACCGTATGCATGATCGCTCAAAGCATACGGTACTATACATTTCACTATAAGAATAATAGCTCTAAAGAGTCATTCGCACAACTGCCACAGACAGTGTAATAGCCGTAGTGACACTTCAGGTGTTGTGTTGAATACAAGCCCCATGGAACAGTGCACATCTAGAATGAATGTGGTGGCCTTGCCGCTGTTGACAGCCCACTAATCCAAACAGAGAGCACCATTTGGGGCCCCCACCTGTACCGGTTTGTTGCCCTTGGCGACGATCGATTCTTTAGGTGGAATAGGAGCAATTCAGCAGGGTTTTATTTACTCACCGGCTTATTGGCTCGGCAGATGCCGTCACTCATGGCGACTGATATAGACGACTGTGGTTTCATTAGGACACATAAACTGACTCAACCCATTTGGTTAAGCATATTGGGTTAACTGCCTCTCATGGAGATGTCAGTATTTTGCTACCCTGAGATGGAGCTAGCAACCATCTGGTTTAAACTGGTTTCTCAGCTTTGCAACATTTTGAAACCAGTGAGCAATGCGCACTGCCACTTTAGTCTGCTTATTGTGACTTTGTTGTCTGACTGTATCATACCTCCACTGCAAGCATCCACCTTATCGTCAGCACTAGGATTGTTTATTAGAAAATGTGTATTTAAGATGTTGTATTGTGTTGTTTGCTGATTCTAAATAAGAAATTGTCAATTGTAACCCTTCGCTGTTATTCATACTAAATAATGCTCCCAATTGAAAATAAAAATCACTCTCTCTTTCCCCAACAAGGAAGAAGTAAAAGACTGTTACTGTATAACATGTAAAACTGCAACAATGCCCCTATAAATGCATAAGTTGGTATATAGTTTAACTTTTGGGCTAAGGTCATGTTATTCTGGTAGGAAATACAATACTATAGTAACTGAAAATGCCTCGAAAACCACATTCCAAAGGCATTTGGGTCTCCTGAGGGTAGGTCTTCATCCTGGTCAGTTACGGGATTGTCGTGTTCAAGGCTGAGGAGAGAGACGACGTAGAGGAACACAAACTAGGTACAAACGTTTCTCTCTCAGATGGTTCTGAGGTCTGCAGCTCTGATTATTTGTGCTGGGACTGATAAGCAGTTAGGTGTGCTGTATTGGGTTCTGCTCTTAATCTATTGTAGAGATGGCAGGTGGGGCTGGTGGGCATCATATCATTGGCGGATCATTTAAGGACGTAGCGCATTCACCATCTCAGAGTGTTGGTTATGTCAATGTTTTTGAAGGACACTGCTTAGAAACGCCTGAAATGGTCTCTGCCTAGGGCTTCATATTACTATGTCCGCCCCTGAGTGAATGTTATATAAATGTACTATTCAACTCAGCCTTTACTGAACCTGTTTAAGGATTGACAGCAACCTGAATCTATGGGCTCAAATGACAACAAAACATAAACAACGGCGTAAAATCATAATATTTTGGGTTACGATGGGGTTAGACAGTTGTACTTACCAAGCTCATGAGGCATTTATAAGTTATAATGTTTAAGAATCAGTATACAGTATACACTACATGACCAAAAGTATGTGGACACCTTCTCGTCAAACATCTCATTCCAAAATCATGGAGTTGGTCCCCCCTTTGCTTCTATTTCCACTAGATGTTGGAACATTGCTGCAGGGACTTGCTTCCATTCAGCCACAAGAGCATTAGTAAGGTCAGGCACTGATGTTGGGCAATTGGGCCTGGCTCGCAGTTGATGTTCCAATTCATCCCAAAGGTGTTCGATGGGGTTGGGGTTGAGGTCAGGGTTCTGTGCAGGCCAGTCAAGTTCTTCCACACCGATCACGACAAACCATTTTCTGTATGGACCTCGCTTTGTGCACAGGGGCAATGTCATGCTTAAACAGGAAAGGGTCTTCCCCAAACTGTTACAAGCACAGAGTCATCTATATTTTATATATATTTTTTAGCAGAGGCTCTTATCCAGAGCAACATACAGTAGTGAGTTCATAAATTTTCTCGTACTGGTCCCCCGTGGGAATCAAACCCACAACCCTGGCATTGCAAGTGCCATGCTCTACCAACTGAGCCACACAATGTCATTGTATGCTGTAGCGTTAAAATGTCCCTTCACTGGAACTAAGGTGCCTAGCCCGCACCATGAAAATCAGCCCCAGACTAGGGTTGTTGCAGTGACCATATTACCACCACACCAGCAGTCATGAGTCATGACCGCAGTCAAATTCTATGTGACAGTGGAGTTATGGTAATCTCCTTTTATGCACTCTGGACATCCATTAATAGTACCCAACTCGCTAAAGACCTGATGATCTCATCAGGTCACAAATGGCCTGGTACTCAGGGCTCTATTGTCCCTCTAACCACTCTGACATCGATGCAAATGCAATGGAAAATCACATCAAACACTTATCATCAAAACAGTATGTGCTTTTAAAACTCACCTCATTGTGATTGATTAATTTGAAGAAAGATGTTCAACAATAGGTTGAAACTGAGTGGAAAACATGGTTATTGTGGATGTTGTTTCAAAGCCTAACACAATGAAATGGTCAGGGCATTCTAAGATGATGATTAATTCAAAACACCCATATGTATATTAGAGCTTATGTATGCATAAGCATAGGCCTATATATGAATGAGCCCATGGCCGATTAAAAAATAAAAATAAAATAATGATTGTGCCTTTATACAATACATAGCCTACCGCATATTACACATGGCAGAAAAACATGAACAATATATACTGATTTAAGATATCTTTGGTACACAATTGGTGTAGCCTAAATTAAACAAATTCAGATTTAGCCCAAAATTATAGTACATTTGTTTTTGAATAGCCTAGTAATAGTGGCCTCCATTAGCTATTCCAGTGCACGGATGACATGTCTTTTTTTTTGTCTTGCCCCATTCTAAATTGGGCCATTCTAAATTGAAACACATTTTCCATAGTAGTAAAGACGAGATTCCATTGAGAATAGTCTGATGGGTGAAAATATGATCACTTGATGAGAACACAGCGTGTGCAGCCTGAGGCAAGGAACAGAGCGCAAGCTTTTTTTGCGACATTTTCAAATCATCAATAGCCTATAGTTGCATCACACAGCCCATATATCTTTTGATTTCTAAGCCATTCTAAGGTTTGTATCATTCATAACTAAAGTTGCCAAATAACTCTAAATGTAGCGTATAGGACATGATCCATTTTATGCTCAACATGGCCACTTCATATGCGCGCACTCGTTTCGGAATGGGAAAAAAATCCATAATATTTTATTCAACTAAATTCAATTATATTATTCTTACTATAAAATCATATAATATAAAATAATGGCACGGTACTTATAAACATATATTGTCTGCTAAATTAACAAGGTAACATACAGTAGGTCAACTCATATTCTGATCTTCTGAAATACATTTTCTTCATATCCAAATGTTTCTTTAGACCTGCCTAAAATAAATAATGCATTTTTTGTGATGGTGTATATTCAATTGATTTTAAATGTAGATGTTCCAAAGCATCAGAAGCTTGTATGGATGGAGCCTGGAGATGCTAAACTTGTTTATGTTAATTAACGGTCAATTACCGTGAGACAATAATGGGCTGACAAAATTTCATGACCACCACAGCCCTACCCCAGACCATTATTCCTCCTCCACCAAACTTTACAGTTGGCACTATGCATTCAGACAGGTAGCGTTCTCCTGGCATTCGCCAAACCCAGATTTGTCCATATGGTGAAGCATGATTCATCACTCCAGAAAACTTGTTTCCACTGCTCCAGAGTCCAATAGCAGCGAGCTTTACACCACTCCAGCAAATGCTTGGCATTGCGCATGGTGGTCTTAGACTTGTGCGTGGCTGCTCGTCCATGGAAACCCATTTCATGAAGTTCCCGACAAACAGTTATTGTGCTGAGGTTGCTTCCAGAGGCAGTTTGGAACTTGGTAGTGAGTGTTGCAAACGGGGACAGACGACTTGTAACCGCTACAGGCTTCAGCACTTGGTGGTCCCTTTCTGTGAGCTTGTGTGGCCTACCACTTAGTGGCAGAGCCGTTGTTGCTCCTAGACATTTCCACTTCACAATAACAGCACTTACAGTTGACCGGGGCAGCTCTAGCAGGGCAGAAATTTGACGAACTGACTTGTTGGAAAAATGGCATCCTATGACGGTGCCACGTTGAAGGTCACTGAGCTCTTCAGTAAGGCCATTCTACTGCAAATGTTTGTCTATAGAGATTGCATGGCTGTGTGCTCGATTATATACACCTGTCAGCAATTGGTGTGGCTGAAATAGCTGAATCCACTAATTTGAAGTGTATCATTAATTGAAATGACGATTGAACAGCAGTAAATATAACAGATTTTAGCATACTATTTAGGGTCTACTTGTGTGTCAAGAAGCCCTGTACCAAAACTTGTCACGCAAATTATGGGAAGAACACAGCTGCAGTGTTGATATGACCACAGGGTTAGATAGAGCAGCCAAACCACAAAAAATATCAACAACAAAAAATCTATGTGGCAATAACAAAATTATTAATTGGCAAAAAAAAAAAAATTTTTATTGTCATGCACAGTGAAATGTGTTGTTTTACAGGGTCAGCCATAGTACTAAGGTAGGGTTAAGTGTCTTTCTCAATGGCACATCAACTGATTTTTCACCTTGTTAGTTCAGGTATTCAAACCAGTGACCTTTTGGTTACTGGCCCAATGCTCTAACCGCCAGGCTACCTGCCACCACCCCTATCTGGCAGCATAGCTTATTTTTTTCTTATTTTTTAAAATAATTTCTGGAGCAAAAAATACAGATTCAATCCATATAGCTTCATCTATGAATTTCAGAGTGCTTACATTTCTCCAGCCCTATTCCTCCGTTTAGCAAATCAAGTGTCAGGGAGTGCAGTTTGCTGACACTAAAATTCAGGGTTGTGGCTTTAGCACCGGTCATGTTTTTCTTCATGACAAAATAACAGCATATTTCGGAACCAGCTTGGACAGTGAGACATAAGACGTCTGCGAGAGGAAGTGAGATAAAGAGCTAATCTAGTTTAACCTCCGCGAACAAGTGGGCGGCCTGCTTGACACACTGAGGCACAACTGATGAGGATGACGAGTGGCAGTGGGCGCCCAGAGAGAGAAAAAGAGGGAGAGCGAGAGAGAGAGAGAGTGTATTTGTGTGTATGAGTGCCTGCATGTTTGTTCTCTATAATTAAGAGCCTTTCACACTCGTCTGCATGTCATGCAGTGCACATGTCTGTGTTCCTCACTCCTCCGCCTGTTAGTTTGTCAACCCCTCTTCATGTTCACGTTTGTCTCTCTTAGTGATGTGTCTCTGGTGGGTTGAGTGCTT